ACACCATGGTATTATAAGTACATTGGGTTGGCAATTCTTTGACTTTGATTTTAGGGCCCCAAGTGATGTTAGGAAATTAAGGCACTGTTTTTCAAGTTTGAACATAATAGATACTTATTTTTCTGTGTAATGGGGGGAAGAAATGGGGATTAATTGATTGTTTCTTAAACTCAAGTTAGCCGTTGGTTTTTATGTAATGCCCATTAAAACAGATTGTGATAAAGAAAGATGAGCTTTGTTGACCATCATCCTTGGGTCAGATGCTTTCAATTATTTTCCAGTTGCTGGTGGGTATCAGTCGCTCACATTCTGTCTTGGGCCTGCCTGGGCCAGCAATCTGAGTGCCTATAGCTGAGCAGATTGACAGAGGCCTTGGCCAGAGCAGAGTGCCACCTCTTAGGCCCAAGAAGTCTGCTGAGGTGAACCCTGTGAATTCTGCTGAGACCTTTTTGCCTACCATCTTGCAGGTTACCAGTCGGGGTTACATTATGCTAGAGTGGAATTTGCAAAGGAGCTCCACAAATTACGAGTGACAAATTTGCAAATGGCTCTTCCATGTGGTGGCACTGGCTGCAATGTCTATACACACCCACCCACCTGTTGCAGCGGTCTTGAGCAGATGGTACCACCTGCTGATAACTTCTCTCCAGCTTCTGTGGTGATCTGTAGGAATATTGGTCACCATGGTACTCTGCCCATATGTTTACTGAACAATATACTTTAGTTATATAGAATTTCCTTTTATAAAATTCCTCACATGGTGTTTTGTTGTAGAGAGAGCACATATTTTCAAAGGTTTTGACACAAATTTCAAAATTTTCCTTTAGAATAGTTGTACCAGTTTGTATCCGATATTGAAGTTTTAACCAGTTTTGATAGAGGGACTGCAAATCTATATGTATTGAAATAAAATTCTGATCCCCCCCCCCCCCCCCCCAGTATTTATTACAGGCATTTTGAGACCCAGAAAGTTAAAAGAGAAGAGTCATCCTCTACCACCTCCACTCAGCAGTCATTGAGTTTGGCCACAATTTGTATTAGTTGTGTGTGTGCTCTTATTGACCATTTAAAGTAAACTTTGGAGGCCCTGTCGGGTAGCTCAATTGGTTAGAGCGTCATCCCAATATGCCAAGGTTGCAGGTTCCATCTCCGGTCAAGAAACATGCAAGAAGCAACCAATGACTGCATAAATAAGTGAAATAACAGATCAGTGTTTCTCCCTTCCATCTCTCTCTCAAAAAATTTTCTTAAATTGATCAAAATTTTAAAAAAACCCAAAACTGTGGATACCATAACCATACCCCTAAACATCTTAGTCCTTGCTCTTCAAAACAAAGATGTTTCCATTAGCGTACAGCATTATCACACCATCTTAACACTCAGTCTCTCATGCTGACTTATATCAACTTTATTTATTTTTTAATATATATACATATTTTTTTCAGAGAGGAAAAGAGAGAGAGAGGTGGAAACTTCAGTGATGATAGAAAATCATTGATCAGCTGCCTCCTGCACACCCCACACTGGGGATTGAGCCCGCAACCCAGTCATGTGTCCTGACAAGGAATCAAACTGTGACTTGGTTCATAGGTCGACACTCAATCACTGAGTCATGCCTGGCTGGGCTCTTTTGTCTCTTAATTCAGAACAGTTCCTGGCCTTTTTAAATTTGGTTTGTGGGCACATCCTCAGGATTGGGCAGATCTGTCCAGTGTTCATTCTGTGTCCTTTTGGGGAGTCCCATCATGTTCATTGTCTCATTACTGTTAGTGTGACTTCTTACCTTTTGGGAGCTGCTGTGGGAGGGCAGGGTCAGGCAAGGGTCAGCTCTGAGACTTGATCTGCAAGGGCGGTTTGGACCAGATTTGCACTTTGGGAAGTGGAGAATGGAGGGAAGGAGGATAAAATTAGAGGCCACAGGATCTCCTTTCCTGATCAGGGTGTGGGCTGTGATGCAGGCTGATAGCTCTGCCCTGGGGCACAGAGCAGATCACGGCACCCTGGAGAGCAGATCAGGGCACTGGGAGGAGGGCCAAATTTTGGTTAAGGCAGGGACCATTGGGAGATACTCAGGTTGGCAGACGTGTGGGGCCTCTCTCTCAAGATTTTGTGTCTCAAGGCAGAGAGGGCAACATCGTGATCACTACGCATGAGCTCCCTTCCCAGCAGTGGGGTTACCAAGTCTCACTGCCCCATGGTGTAATGGCCTCTTTACGAGAAGGTATCTTCAGACTGAAAGATGAATTAGCCAACTTCATAGAATACCATGGAATTTATTATAGGGTAATTTTCTTATGGGAAGATTAGGGCTGAAGCAGACAGAGGACTCAGCAGTTTTGTGCAAATTATACAATGCCCCCTCTTTCCCAAAACTCCTGTCACTGCACTGTTTTTATAATATAACTCAGGTACTAATGATTGACAAGACAAAGGGACAAATAATGCAGTAGCACCAGGAGCCATCCCTCCTGGTGGCTGACACTGTCACCAGTTTGATGTATATTTCGGTTGTCGTCCTGGCCATTACCAACAAAAGTGCTTATGGTTACATTTTAGGGGATACAGCTAATCATTAACTAGAAGGCTTTGATATGCTTACTAAAGACAGATTGGTCAAAAGCCACAGCGTGAAAGGACACGAAGATGAAAATGGTATTTGCTTACACCTACATCTATGCAACAGATTCTCTCCTCTCCCTTCCCCACGTGACCATGCTCAGCCTTTCTCTTCCTTTACCCTCAGCTACATTAACATGGCTGACACCCCCTCCTCAGTCCTCCTCCTCCTCCACCCATGTGAGTGGCATCTCTTGATTCTACTCTTGTCCTGCTGGCTGCTGCTCCTCATTCTGGGTCCCTCTTCTTTCCAGCTTTCTTACATGGCCCACCTCCTCTCTCTTCCTGGGTGGTCTCATGCAGTTTGGTGGCTTTACCTACTGCCTTAGCGTCCTGGGTTGCTGTAACCAAGTCCCACTAACTGGGTGGATGAAAACAGCAGGAATGGATTCTCTCAGGGTCCTGGTGGCCAAACCTGAAATCAAGGTGTTGATGGGACCTCACTTCCTCTGAAGGCCCAGGCCTTCTACCACTTGGTGGCTGTGTGTTCTTGGCTTACAGCAGCATCGCTCCAATCTCTGTCTCCAATTTACATAGCCTTCCCCTCAGTTATGTCTCAGGTCTTTTTCTCCCCCCTCTTTTTTAAAAATAATTTTTTAAAATATGGGTGTTTTTTTTATTGATTTTTAGAGAGAGAAAAAGGGAGAGGGGGAGAGAGATAGAAGCATCGAGAAAGAAACATTGTCTACCTCCAGCATGCCATCCCTTACTGGGGATCGAGCCTGCAACCCGGGCATGTACCCTGACCGGGAATCAAACAGTAACCTCTTGATGGATGGGATGACACTCAACCAACTGAACCACGGCAGCTGGGCTTCTCCCCCCTCTTAACGGACACGAGTCATGGGATCCTGAGCCTCCCCTCAATCCAGGATGATCTCATCTCAAGACCCTTAATAATCACATCTGTAAAGACCCTATTCCAGATAAGGTCCCGTTCGCAGGGGCTGGCGGTTAGGATGGGTGTATCTTGGAGGGCACATATCAACCACAGCCTGATGATTACTGAGTTTGTATTTCTTGGATTTCTGAGAAGCATCTCACACCTAAAGTGTCCTGACTTGCTTTCTCTTCCCAGGCCACAGAACCTGTTCCTCCCCATCTGCTCTTTCCCGGGGCGTGCGACTCTGCTCTGCTAGCTGCTCAGGTGGGAACTTTGGATGCTTCCTTGACCCTGCTCCCACACCCAGCCCCAGGCCATCTGCACACCCTGTGCTCTCAGCCCCCTGTCCACATGGCCCCCTGCCTGTCCATGGCAGCACTCCCCCACCTTCTGTGTGTTCCCCAGTCACATTGCCTGTCCTTCACGGTCAGAGGTACCCTCCTAAGACATAAGTCAAGTCACCCTTCTGCTCAGACATTCCCAGGAACACCAGTCTTCACTTCGGCCCATGAATCTGTGTGAACTGGTTCCGTGTTTCCCACTCCCTTATCTTCACTCCTCCTTCACCGCTCTGCTCAGGCACATCAGCTGACCCATGTTTCTCCCAGACACTATCAGTAGCCCTGTCCCCCCAGTCATTCTGTATCCCCACCTGATTTTCTTCCTCTCAACACCTGACATTTACCTGTGTGTTGTCAGGAAAACAAGCCATTATTCCCATCTCCATATTATATACCAGGGGTGGGCAAACTTTTTGACTCGAGGGCCACAATGGGTTCTTAAACTGGACCGGAGGGCCGGAACAAAAGCATGGATGGAGTGTTTGTGTGAACTAATATAAATTCAAAGTAAACATCATTACATAAAAGGGTACGGTCTTTTTTTTTTTTTTTTTTAGTTTTATTCATTTCAAATGGGCCGGATCCGGCCGCGGGCCGTAGTTTGCCCACGGCTGTTATATCCAGATGTTAGAAGAGTGTCAGCCCAGCCTCCCTGAGCACACTTTTGTCATTCCAGCCTGAGCTCCAGTCTCCCTGTCTCAGCAGCCACGATCAAGTCCTTGAGGTCTCAGGACCAGTATCTTCTCAGAGAGCCTGCTGTCACACGTCAGGGAGCCCCTTCACTCAGCTCTGTTCTGACACCCTGTGTGCTGCCTGACCTTCCTCGTGTTTATGGTCCTGCAGCCCCTGGCCTTGTCTGCCAGGAAAGTAGGGCCTCCCTAGAACAGTGTCCTTGCTGCATGTTTAGACATTCACTAGACACTTGGGCAAGTGAATGAGTAAATCCAAATGACTGAGAAGTATGATAGCAAGTCAGGCCCTGTGCAAGAACAAACGTGACCGCCAAGTAAGTAGGGTGATGCTGAGTAGGATTTGGTGTAAGGACAGTTTTTTTCCATATAAAAATATGTATTTAAAAAATTACATGGATGTTGTGTAGTAGGGAGGACAAAAAATGCACTGCAATTATTAACTGCTGCTTTTCTGCTTTTGTTTTCCAGATACCATTTGCTTTTGACTCAAGATGATTTGATGTCTTATAATAAGCTTATTAACCATGATGGCTACACAGACATTAAGCATAGACAGTTATCAAGATGGGCAACAAGTGAGAACTTAAGATTTATTCTGTTTTAATTACAGTCAGTTGACCTGCTACTAAAATACAAGCAATGCTTTGCATATTAATAGTTAACTTCCCTGAGATTGCAGTTTCAATTTTAGTATATTATTCATTTAATATATGTTTAAATTATTTCCTAAATAATACCAAGATTGCTAGTAATTTTGACTCTCCTAAATCAGACTTTCTTGGGCATTTTTTTAATAGAGCCACAGTCACTCCCTGGCCCAGCTGCCATGCCCCAAATACAGCTACAGCCTCAGCCCTCTCCTCGTCTGCTCTTTGCCTGGAGGTGAAAAAGGTCCAATTCCAAACCTCCTTAACTCCGTTTCCCCTCTTCACAATACAGACCAGGCGAAGGGCCTGGGCTGAGCTGTGTGTGGGGTAGGGTTACTCTGCCTTCTCTTTCTGTGCAGTCAGTATATGAACATAGCCTGTGGCCCTGGCCTGGTAGCTCAGTTGGTTAGAGCAGTGGTTGGCAAACTCATTAGTCAACAGAGCTAAATATCAACAGGACAATTGAAATTTCTTTTGAGAGCCACATTTTTTAACCTTAAACTATATAGGTAGGTACATTGTTATTAACTTAATTAGGGTCCTCCTAAGGCTTAGGAAGAGCCACACTCAAGGGGCCAAAAAGCCGCATGTGGCTCGTGAGGCGCAGTTTGCCGGCCACGGGGTTAGAGTGTCTCCTGTTATGCCAAGGTTGCAGGTTCGACCTCGGTTCAGGGCACATACAAAAAGCAACCAGTGAATGCATAAGTAAGTGGAACAGCAAAGTTGATGTTTCTCTCTCTCCCTTCTTCTGTCTAAAAGAAAAAAAAATAAAAAGAACACAGTCTGTGGTAAGCACCAGGAGGCCTAGGAATTTGCCTTTTTAATGTCAGTGTTAGCAGGGCCAGTGATGAACCCACAACCCAGGTACTTGCCGTTGACTGGGAACCAAACCTGTGACCCTTTGGTGCGTGGGCCGACACCACTGAACACACCAGCCAGGGCTGTGGGTGTGCTTTCTTCTTTTTAATATATATTGATTTCATAGAGGAAAGGAGAGGGGGAGAGAGAGAGAGAAACATCAATGATGAGAAAAAACCATTAATTCGCTGCTTCTTGCACGCCTCCTACTGGGGATCACAACCTGGGCATGTGCCCTGACCAGAAATTGAACTGTGACCTCCTTATTCATAGGTAGATGCTCAACCATTGAGCCACACTGGCTGGGATGTGGGTGGTTTCTTGACAGCCCTCCCACTGGCTGTAAGTTGTAGTTTTACCTGAAGCTACCCTGGTGTTTTATGTTCTGTGACCTGAAGGAATTGGGAAGGAGGGGGCTTACTGAGTCCTGTGCAGCCGCTCTTGGGACACCTGAAGTTTTGGGAATGCTCTGTGTGCTTCCAGTGGGGGCCATACCCTTTTTTTCTCAGGAGCTTGGGAGCTGATTTCCATTGAAGACATGCAGCTCTGCCTTTGCTTCCCACCTACCTCATAATCAGGAGGCAGGAACAGAATGCCAGGAGCTCTCTTCACACCCTCCTTGAAGATTTTATTTTATTTATTTATTCATTCATTCATTCATTTATTTTTGTTAATCCTCACACCTGAGGATATTTTTTTCATTGATATTTAGAGAGAGAGGAAGGGAAGGGGAGAGAGAGAGAGAAACAATGATGTAAGAGAGAGACACATCAGTTGATTGCCTCCCGCACAAACCCCGACCAGAGATGGAACTTGCAACCGAGGTACATGGCCTTGACCGGAATCGAACCCGGGACTCTTCGATCTGTGGGCTGATGTTCTATCCACTGAACCAAATCGGCTAGGGCCTCCTAGAGCAGTGGTTGCCAACTTTTCGGACCTCACGGACCACTGATTGGTGATCGCTGTCCTAGAGGATTTTAGTGCATCCGACCAATTGATCAAATCTGGGTAGGGTCAACTCACCCTAGGAAGTCACAGCCGCCCCATTGGTGAGACTCCAGGTGGGCTTCTGGTGGGCGGTTAGGACCTGAGTCTGGCCACCCCAGCCTTGCTGACTCTCATGTCTTTTCCTTGGTGGCCAGTTTTGCACCATTTCTGGTTTAGTTGCCGTTGCTTTTGTTTGCTTTTGTAGGCTTTAAAATCTTTTTAAGTGCTTTTTGCTTCTTATAGGAATTGAGGTAGAGAATTCTGTTTCAGCCTGCTCTTTTCACCTGTAAGTTCTTTGATATTTCCAAGTGACTAATGATGACTCCTCTCTCCTTGCTGACGCCTGACCTTAACAGCCCCCCTTCCCGCATTGCCTGGCACTCAGATCCCAGGCCCCCCTGCAACCTCCCCTAGTGCACTCCCCTCTGCCTTTACTCCAGGGCACTTCTCTGCCCTGTGGCCCTGGCTCTTCCCTTCACTCCCACCCACCCCCCTCCCTCAGGCAGCAGCTTGGCGAGCTCCTTCCTGTTCTGCAGGTCTTTGCCTGCTTCACCCCTTTCTTCGAAGACTCTCCTGCCTGCCATAGTTACTTACCACTGCAGCTTTCTCTGATCTTCTCTCCTTCCCAGCAATGATCACCTTCTGACATATTCTGTTAAGTGATAGTTTTCTGTGCTTATCCTTGTCTGTCTTCTTCCCTGTCTGTGCCCTGATACAGTGAGTATGCAGTGTAGTGCCAGGCACAGTGGGGGGTGGGAGCTGGTAGGTGAGGGGTGGTGAGCCCCTTGATTTTAATAGCTAAGCACTTCCTCACAACACAGAAAACTCTTTGAAAACATTATTTTATTTATTTTTAGAAAGAGGGGAAGGGAGAGAGAGACATTGATCTGTTGTTCCACCCATTTATGCACTCATTGGTTGATTCTTATATGTGCCCTGATTGGGGATTGAACTGCAACCTTAGCTTATTAGAATGACACTCTTAACTAACAGCTTCCTGGCCATGGCGAGAACATAAGCACTTAGTATTATTCAGTACACATATACCAAATTTACTTCACCATTCCTTCGAGGTTGAACATTTAGATTTCCCTTCTTTCACAGTCATTAAAAAAGAAACCTTGAAATAAATCTCTTAAGGCTTTTTTATAATACTGTCAGATTTTCCTCCAAAAAGACTGTGTTTGAGTGGGTATTAGTTTGTTGCTTTAGTGTTTTGTTTTTGGGGTTTTTTTGTTTGTTTGTTTGTTTGTTTTAAGAGAGAAAAACAATTTTCTAAATATACTGTGCCATTTAAAGGCACCAGAATGGAATTGTCACTCTGGACTATTGGAGAGCCTGGGTCTGAGGACTACTTCCTTGGCCATAGCACCTGGGTGTCAGGAAGGGATCATGATGGGACTCTCCCATCTCCTGGGGATGAGTACCCCACCCCAGTGCACCCAACATACTGCTTCCTTGAGGGCAGAGGCATGGCAGCTAGGGTTGAGCAGGGGTGGGAGATAATCTGCTCATGGATAATTACAAGTTTACTAAGCGGCAATTTTATTTCATATTTTTGTAAACTGAATTCTTTACATTTAAGAATTTAAATACTTTTTACCTAACTTACAACATAGCTAGTTTAAAGCAATTTAAATGATATTTTAAAGACTTCCTCTTATATTTAATACTATTTCTTTAAATACAACTGGTTTTTATTTTCTGAATAGAGTGACTTTTTAAAAGAATTTTATAGTTTATGTATTCCTGAAGTTTAAGCATAGATAAGGGAGAATTTCAGGCCTGTCAGAGACATGTAGCATATTGGATATGAGTTGTTTTTATGGACAATTTTGTTTACTCTTCTCTTACTGCAGTATTATCCAGCATGAGGCTATACTGCAGGCAGGCAGGCAGACAGTAAGATTGCATATGGACCAGTTCCCTTCAGTAATGTATGGTTGTTATGATTTTGAAAATCATAAGCATTTCACATATATCAGTCCTTTTTGTTTTTAAATGATTTGGAAATTTGACCTTTGGCCTTTTTTAAAACATTAACTTATAAAGGAGTTTGTGGGTGGTATCCATTTAAATTGTTGCCAATCACACAGCGGGCAGTTACCCTTCCCATTGCATTCCTGTTTGATAATAGAACACTTAATAGAAGTTTGTTTTTTGTTTAGTAACAAAAATTATCCTCCCCCTTTCACAGATGCAAGTAGTAACAGAGTTGAAAACAGAGCAAGATCCCAACTGCTCTGAACCAGATGTGGAAGAAGTGAGCCCTCCCCCTATGGGGTCCCAGACACCGATGGATGCAGACAAGCAGGCCATTTATAGGTAGCAAAGAGATGTGAAGCATGTGGGTTTTAAGAGGAATAATGAGAGTAGAAAACCTTGTTAAAGGGAACATGAGAGCTATTAGCTAGGCAGAGTAAGATTTGATGTGGTAACTACTAGGGTGAAGATTTTCTCAGATTAAGATGTTATTTCTAATACCTTTCTTTAAAAAAAGTTTTGGAATATAAATCACATTTTAGTTCACCTTGTAAAAAATAATATTCAGACCCAGATGATTTTACTGAAGAATTCTACCAACCTTATGAGAAAAAAGCAGCATGTCTACACAATCTCTTTCAGAAAATAGAAGATGAAGACTACTTCCCAATGCTTTTTACAAACTGAGCAACACTCTGATACCAAAGAAATCCAAAAAAATTCACAGATAATATGCCTCATGAATTTGGACATAAAAATCATCAATAAAATATTAGCAAATTGAATCCAGCAACAAAAATAATAGAATAATATATAATGACCAAGTGAAGTTTATGCCAGGAATGCAAGACTAGTTCACTGTTCAAAGATCAACCAATGAGATTCACAGTGTGATCATATCATTTGACAATCAACAGCTAATTAAAACTGTCAGCAAAGGGGAACTTTCTTAACCTGATGACAGGCAACTACAAAAACCCACAGCTCACATCAGACTTGATGGTGAAAGATGGAATACTTTCCCCTAAGGTTGGGGATGAGAGATGCCCACCCTAACTCTTCTTAATCAGCACTGTAATAAAAGTCCTAGCCAGTGCAGTAAGACAAGAAAAAGATTAGAAAGGAAGAAATAAAACTGGCTCAATGCACAAACGACATCATTGTCGACATAGAAAATCCCAGCATGTACCAAAAACCTTCCAGGTATATCGTGAATTTAATAAGGTCACAGGTTACACATGCAACACACAAAAACCAACCCTGTTTCTATATCTGTAACATATAATTGGAAACAGAAAACAAAAAGATAGTACATTTGCCAGAATTCCAAAAAACTTAGGTATAAATCTGTACCTATAAAATGCTGATGCAAGCAAATCAGAGACAACCTAATAAATGGCAGGACATACCATGTTTATGGATTCAGAGACTCAACATAATACAGATGTCTGTCCTCCTAAAATCAGGCTATAGACAATACGATTTTAATTAAATTTTATCAGGATATGTTTGTGCATATAGACAAGTTCTAAATTTTATATAGAAGTCAGAAGAACTAGATCAACTAAAACAATTTTGAAAAAGAATAAAGGAGGAATCAAGTCTATTTGATCTTAAAATTTGCAACCATGTTACAGTAATTAAGACACTGTGATATTTGTGAAGGGATAGACACATAGATAAATGCCACAGAGAGAGTCCAGAAATAAATCTACACAAATAGGATTTGATCTTTGGCTAAGTTGTGAAAACAATTCAATAAGAGAAAAGGTAGACTTTTCAACAAATGGTGTTAGAACAATAGGATATCTATATTCAGAAAAAAATATCCTTCACTTACTCTGACATCTTATACAAAAAGTTACTCAAAATGGACTATCGACCTAAATGTAAATTTTAAAACTGTAAAATTGGTACATCCATATAATGGATATTATTTGGCCATAAAGAAGGAATGAGGTACTGATACCTGTTACAGCATCAGTAAGTCTTGAAAACATGCTAAGTGAAAGATGTCAGACACAAAAGGTCACATCTTCTATTTATATATATATAAAAGGGTAATATGCAAATTGTCCCCTCGGGAGACCGGGAGTTCGACCGCTTGCTATGACGTGCACTGACCCCCAGGGATCGGCACTGAACAAAGCAAGGCCCCAGCTGGCAGCCGGGGAAGGAAGGCCTCGGCTGGCACCTGGAAGGCCCTGATCAGCCCTGATCAGCCCTGATCACCAGCCAGGCCTAGGGACCCTACCTGTGCATGAAGTTCATGCACCAGGTCTCTAGTATTATATGAACCTAGAGGCCTGGTGCATGAAATTCGTGCACTGGGGGGGGGGCAGTGTGTGTGTGTCCCTCAGCCAAGCCTGTACCCTCTCCAATCTTGGACCCCTCGAGGGATATCCATCCCATTCACAGTCCAGGACTGCTGGCTCCCAACTGCTCTCCTGCCTAATTGCCCCTAACCGCTTCTGCCTGCTGGCCTGATCGACGCCTAACTGCTCCCCTGCTGGCCCGATTGCCCCTAACTGCCCTCCGCTGCTGACCTAGTTGCCCCCAGCTGCCCTCCCCTGCAGGCCTAGTTGCCCCCAACTGCCCTCCCTGCAGGCCTGTTATCCCCCCAACTGCCCTCCCAGCAGGCCTGTTCCCCCCCAACTGCCCTCCCCTGCAGGCCATCTTGTGGTGGCCATCTTTGTCCACATGGGGGCAGCCATCTTGTGTGTTGGAGTGATGGTCAATTTGCCTATTACCTCTTTATTATATAGGATGTTTAGAATTGGCAAATCTATAGAGACAGAAAGCAGATTAGTGGTGGCCTGGGGATGGGACTTAGGGGTAAAGTAGAGAGTGACTGCTAATGGCTATAGAGTTTCTTTGGGGGATGATGAAAATGTTCTAAAATTGATTGTGGTGATGGTTACCCAACTTTGTGAATGTACTAAAAACCACTGAATTGTAAACTTTGAATGGATAAATTATATATTACATGAATTATATCTTAACGAAGTTGGTATGTCAAATAATGTGTGCATACATACATACCAAACATCCTCATGCCATATGTAGAGTGTACATTTTTTTTCTTTTTTCCCCAGGCATCCACTGTTTCCATTATTAGCTTTGTTGTTTGAAAAATGTGAGCAATCCACGCAGGGCTCAGAAGGTACAACTTCTGCCAGTTTTGATGTGGACATTGAAAATTTTGTAAGGAAGCAAGAGAAGGAAGGAAAACCCTTCTTTTGTGAAGATCCAGAAACTGACAATTTAGTGAGTAAATTTTTTATTCCAAATTTAAAATCTGTTCAATAAATTTTAAACTTCCAGTTAAAACTTTAGACTGTTTGCAGTTCTGCGAAAGGGGAGAATTGTACAACTCATGAGATAACGTGTGCGTGTGACTTGAATGTCTTCCAGCCTTCTCTCGTTACTTCTTCCTGTTATCAAATAAGCTGGCTCAGCCTCCATCTTAAATGGACCAGGGGATTCAGTTCTCTCCTGAACATTTGAAAGGTTCATTGGGGTTGACGTGTTCACCTGCCTTGCTTCTCAGGCAGCATGTTGATGCTCAGCTTCAGTCCTTGACTTTTCCTTGACCATGGACACATGACTGTGTTCTACAAGACAGCTCTGCCTTGAGGCTCACACTGATTCATGGTGGGTGACAAAGTTTGTTAAGACTTGGGAACCACCAGCACAGAGCAGGGACAGGCTCCGAGGCCCCCCATGATCTCCCTTGGTCTTTCTGTCTGAAGCCAATCTGTCTCATATAATGCCCTCCTTGTGGGTCCAGTGTTCTAAAATTCAGGGTTCTCTGTGCTTTCTGAAGGAAGGGAGAATTCTTTGGCGTTAACATCACTGCTGTACCTAAGGGGAGTGGTGCCATTCAGTACTGTGGAACACTTCAGCTGTGTCTGGGCTCCTCACTGGATTTCCATTGAAGCCTGCTATGCCAGCTCCCACATCAGTACCTTCATCAGGCTCTGGTCAGCAGAAAGGGTCTTTGGAAATCTCTTTCCTGACTAAACTGCCCAGGTCTTCATTGCTGTTGTTTAAATTTCTCATTACATATTCAGCCCTTATTGCCCAGTAATAGATTTTATAGGTGAGTTGTCTGACTTTGAGTCTGTCTCTTCATCTTTTGAATGGGACTGACAGTGCCTTCCCTTTTGGATTTAGGACCAGAGACTACTCTCTCTGCCTCTGAATCTGTCATACAGCCATCAGCGAGTGAGGGGCAGAAGTGGCCACAGTGGTCCCAGGCTGGCAGGGACCAAGGCTCTCCTGAGTGGTGTTAGAGCACAGGGCCTAGTAGAGCTGGATGCTTGGTATTCCTCATTATTGACTGGCTGGCTGATTGGTTCCCTCCACAAGTACTATGGATTACTATCCAAGGTCACAGGAGAAGGAGCTAAGGCAGGTGCTGCTTATGGCAGTGATGGCGAACCTTTTGAGCTCGGCGTGTCAGCATTTTGAAAAACCCTAACTTAACTCTGGTGCCGTGTCACAGACAGAAATTTTTTGATATTTGCAACCATAGTAAAACAAAGATTTATATTGTTGATATTTATTTTATATGTTTAAATGCCATTTAACAAAGAAAAATCAACCAAAAAATGAGTTCGCATGTCACCTCTGACACGCGTGTCATAGGTTCGCCATCACTGATCTAGGGCTACGCAAAGAGTTCTTAGACTTGACACCAAAAGCACAATCCATAAAAGGCAGAGTTGGTAAGCTGAACATTATTAAACTTAAGAACCATCTCTGAGGTGGATCTGGATACATCCCAGTTTATAGATGAAGCAGGAACAGAGTGAGGACTGGCAACTTGCCTGTAGGGCCTGAGGCAGTGGTGAAGCTGGCTGAGGTCTGCTGGTCCTGGTACTGTACTCGCTGAAGTTGCACTGGCATTGTCAGTCTTTCTGCATATCAGACAGAGCACGGGTCTGGTGCTGGGACGATTTGTCATTTTGCACAATATCTGATGTTATTCCACTTCTGTCACTGGCAATACAGATGGTGATGGCTGTGCAGGGTTCAGGCTAATAACTGAGAGTAGTTATGTGATGATGATTAAACTTAACATCATGCTGCCTTTTCCTTATCTCAAAGTCTTCATTTTCTCTGCTTTTAGATGGTAAAAGCAATCCAGGTTTTGCGTATTCATCTTCTTGAGCTGGAAAAGGTTAATGAACTCTGCAAAGATTTCTGCAGTCGATATATTGCTTGTCTAAAAACGAAAATGAACAGTGAAACTCTCCTGAGTGGAGAACCTGGAAGCCCGTACTCTCCTGTCCAGTCCCAGGTATTTATGTTTGGGTCCTGCTCTACTTCCTGGTTGCTGTAACATCTGCAAAGATGAACTGTGTTGATCCTGAGAACACCAGCCCTTTCAGAATCACAAGGCTGTCTTAATGGCTGTGCTGGCCTCTAGATCCCTGACGCTAGCCTGGGCTGAGAGTGAATTCCAAACACCGTCCATCTAGCTTCATACAGTGAATGCAGTGAGGCCCCGATCTGTATACTGGACCCTGGGCCCTATGTTTCTGGAGTTCCATCCATTTCTTTCTTTTTTCCTTTTTTAAAATATACTAGAAGCCCGATGCACAAAATTCATGCAAGGGGCTCAGCCTTCGTGGCCCCAGCTGTCTTGCAGCCCCACAGCCTGGCCCCCTACTCACTGGTTGTTCTGGAAGGTCATTCTGCTTTCCAGTCTAATTAGCATATTAGCTCTTTATTATATAGGAATTTTAAAAATTGTAACATATATGTCACAAAATGTACCATCCTAACCATGTTTAACTACAGGTTTTTTAAAAATATATTTTATTGATTTTTTACAGAAAGGAAGGGAGAAGAATAGAGAGTTAGAAACATTGATGAGAGAAAAACATCGATCAGCTGCCTCCTGCACACCCTCTTACTGGGGATGTGCCCACAACCAAGGTACATGCCCTTGACTGGAATCGAACCTGGGACCTTTCAGTCTGCAGGCCGACGCTCTATCCACTGAGCCAAACCAGTCAGGGCTAACTGTACAATTTTGTGGCATTAAGCACATTAACATTGTTGTGCAACCATCACCACCATCCATTTCCAGAACTTTCCATCTTCCCAAACCGAAATCTGTCACCATTAAATACTAACTTCCATTCCCCTACCCCAGCCCCTGGCACCCACCAGTCTACTTTCTGTCTGTATGAATTTGACTCCGTTAAGGACCTTATGTAAGGGGAATCATTTGTCCTTTTCTTAAAAAAATATATGTCTTATTTATTTCAGAGAGGAGGAGGGGTAGGAGAGAGGGATAGAAACATTAATGATGAGAGAGAATCATGGATTGGTTTCCTCCTGCACGCCCCACACTGGGATCAAGCCTGCAACCCAGGCATGTGTCCTGCCAGGAATCAAACCATGACCTCCTGGTTCATAGGTCGACGCTCATCTACTGAGCCGTACCAGCTGGGCTGTCCTTTTGTATTTGGCTTATTTCGCTCAGCATATGTCCTCAAGGTTCCTCTATCTTGGAGCCCTATTATATTGTAGCCACTCTGATAGATTGTAGTGACATTCATTGTGTTTGTAACTTACATCTCCCCGGTGGCTAGTGATGCTGACCATCTTTTTATGTGCTTATTTTCCCTCTGTATATCCTCTTTGGTAGAATGTCTTCTCACATCTTTTGCCCAATTTCTAATTGGATTTTTTTAAACTGTTGACTTTTGAGAGTATTCCAGATACTAGTCTTTTATTGGCTATACATTTTTCAAATATTTTTTCCAAGTCTGGAGCTTATTTTTCTTTTCTTTTTTAAAATATATTTTATTGATTTTTTACAGAGAGGAAGGGAGAAAGAGAGGGATAAAGAGGTAGAAACATCGATGAGAGAGAAACATCAATTCAGCTGCCTCCTACACACTCCCCACTGGGGATGTGCCCACAACCAAGGTACATGCCCTTGACGGGAATTGAACCTGGGATTCTTCAGTCCGCAGGCTGACGCTCTATCCACTGAGCCAAACCAGTCAGGGCTGGAGCTTATTTTTCATTCTCTTATCAGTGTCTTTTGCAGAGCAAGCATTCCCCCACTGCCCGTCTTTATTTTATTTTATTTATTTAAAATTTTTATTTCCCATCCATCCACCTCACCTCCCTTTTAGCAACCATTAGCTTGTTCTCTATATCTTTGGGTCTGTTTTTTTGTTTATTCATTTGTTTTGTCCTTCTAGGTTCTGCATATGAGTGAAATCATATGGTATTTGTCCTTCTCTATCTTTTTTATTTTATTTTGCCTAATAACCTTTAGGTTCATCCATGTTATCTCAAATGTCAAGATATCATTATTATTATTTTTTTAAATATTTTATTGGTTTTTTACAGAGAGGAAGGGAGAGGAATAGAGAGTTAGAAACATCGATGAGCGAGAAACATCGATCAGCTGCCTCCTGCACGCCCCCTACTGGGGATGTGCCCGCAGCCAACGTACATGCCCTTGACCGGAATCAAACCTGGGACCTTTGAGTCTGCAGGCCGACTCTCTATCCACTGAGCCAAACCGGTTAGGGCAGATATCATTATTTTTATTGCTAAATAATAAAATTCCATTGTATATATGTACGCATCTTTATCCACTCAGTTATTGCTTCCATATCTTGTCTGTTATAAATAACTACAGGCCCAGTGCACAAAATTCATGCAAGAGTAGGCTTTCCTTCCCCCTGGCTGCCAGCACTGGCTTCCCTCTGGCACCCGGGACCCGGGCTTCCCTCACAGCCCTGGCTTCATCCGAAAGGATGTCCGGTCTAATTAGCATACTATGCTTTTATTATTATAGATTATTATAGATGCTGCAGTGAACATAGAGGTGACTATATCTTTTTTAATTAGTGTTTTTGTTTTCTTGGGATAAATACCTAGAAGTGAAATTGCTGGGTCACATGGCAGTTCTATTTTTAATTTTGGGGGGAACCTCCATACTGTTTTTCATGGTGGCTGCACTAATTTGCAGTCCTACCAACAGGGCATGAGGATTCCCTTTTCTCCACATTTTTGCCAACACTTGTTTATTGATTTATTGATGATAGCCATTCTGACTGGTGTGAGGTGATAATCTCATTGTGGTTTTAATCTACAGCTCCCTGATGATTAGTGATGTTGAACATTTTTTCATTTGTTTGTTGTCCATTTGTATGTTCTCTTTATAAAAACGTCTATTCAGTTCTTCTGCCTTTTTTTAAAATTGGATTTTTTTGGTGTTAAGTTATATGAGTTCCTTATGTATTTTGGATATTAACCTCTTATCAGATGTATCATTTGTGAATATCTTCACCCATTTAGTAGGTTGTCTTTTTGTTTTGTTGATGGTTTTCTTCACTGTTCAAAAACTTTTTAGTTTGATGTAGTCCCATTTGCTTATTTTTCTCTTTGTTTCTCTTGCTTGAGGAGATATATCCACAAAGATATTACTGGACCAATGTCAAAGAGTTTACTACCTATGTTTTCTTCTAGAGTTTTATGATTTCAAGTCTTACATTTAAGTCTTAAATCCATTTTGAGTTTATTTTTGTAAATGGTTTAAGAAAGTGGTACCATTTTATTTTATTTTTCATATATCTGTCCAGTTTTCCCAGCAGCACTTAATGAAGACTGTCTTTACCTCATTGTATATCCTTACCTCCTTTGTTGTAGATTGACTGTATAAGCAAGGATTTATTTCTGGACTTGCTATTCAACATTTTTTAAAATTGATAATTCCTACTTACCAATTTTTCCCTTTATGAGTCATGATTTTGGTGTCAAGTTTAAGAACGCTTTGCCTAGCCTTAGATCCCAAAGATTTTCTCTCATTATTTTTCCTTAAGTTTTATATTTTACATTTAAATCCATGATCAGTTTTGAGTTAACTTTTGTATAAAGCATGAGGATTTTGGCTGAGGTTCATTTGTTTGCCTCTAGATGTCCAGTTGTCCAGCACCATTTGTTAAAAAGACTCCTTCCTCCATTGAATTGCTTTTGCACCTTGTGAAAAGTCAGTTGGGCATATATATAAGATTTATTTCTGTGTCTTGTGTTCTGTTCAGATTTATATATCTATACCATATAGTTTTGATTACTGTATTATATAATCTCAAAATTCAGTAGACTGGTTACTCTCACTATTCTTTTTCAAAATATTATTTTCTCAAAATATTTGAGCTATTTCTAGTTCCTTTGCCTTTCCATATAAATTTTAGAATAATCTTGTCTCTATCTACAAGAAAAATGTACTAAGATTTTGATAGGAATTGCATTAAACCTGTATTTTGTTTTGGGGAGAATTGACATCTTTACTATGTTAACTCTTTCAGCTCACACACATGGTGTGTCTCCCCATTCATTTACTCTTCCTATGATTTCTTTCATTAGTTCTCAACATATGAGTCCTGCACATGTGTTTTTAGAATTATACCTAAGTATTTTTGTGTGTGTTTTTGAGCAATTGTAAATGGTATATTTTTAACTTGTGTCATGCGAGTTTATAGAAATGCAGTTGGTTTTTAAATGTTTATCTTGTATCCTATGGCCTTGCTGAACTCACTTAACTAGTTTTAGGAGTCCTTTATATAGAGTCATTAGGACTTTCTGCCTATTTAGTCATGTCATCTGCAAATAGGGACAGTTTTGTTTCTTCCTTTGTGATCTGTATACTTTTTATTTCATTTTCTTGCCTTATTGCATTGGCTAGAACATCTAGTACTATCTTGAATAGGATTGGTGAGAGCAGGAATCCTTTGCTTGTTCCCAATCTTATGGGGAAAGTATTCAGCCTTTCACTATTAATTTTTATCTTAATGGTAGTTTTCCCCCTAGATGCTCTTTATCAAATTGAGGAAGTTCCCCTCCTATTTTTCTGAGAGTTATATTGAATTTTTTCAAATGCACGGATTGATATGATTATGAGATTTTTATTTTTTAGCCTGTTAATATGGTAGGTTACATTGAGTTTTTTTAATATTGAGCAAATCTTGAATTCCTGGAATAAACTGCACTTGGTCATGGCATGTAATTCTTTTTATATGGATTCCTGAATTTTCTTCTAATTGCTAATATTTTGTTAAGCATTTTTGTGTCTATATTGAGGGATATTGGCCTGTAATCTTTTTTGGTGCAGTCTTCATCTGTCTTTGGTATTGGGATAATACAAGCTTCAGAAAATGAATTGGAGAGTATATCCTGTTCTTCTGTTTTTTAGGGAGGTGTTAGAATTGGTATTAATTTTTCTCTAAATTTTGATAGAATTCTTCAGTGATATTACCTGGACCTGGAGATTTCTTTTTTTGGAGGTTTTTAAATTACAACTTTAGTTTCCTTAATAGTTATAGGGCTATTCAAATTATCTATTTCATATTGGATTTTGTCTACTATGTCAAGTTTATATGTTGAGTTCATGGTATTCCTTTTTCTCCTTTTGATGTCTATAAGGTCTTCAGTGATCTCCCCTGTTTCATTTCTGATATTGGTAGTTTGTCTTTTTCTGTTCGGCTTACTAGAGGTTTGTCAATGTATTGATCTTTTCAAAGAACTTGTTCTTTATTCTCTGTTGTTTTTCTGTCTTCAATTTCATTGTTATCTGCTTTGATCTTTATTATTTCCTTTTGCTTGCTTTGATTTTATTTTGTTCCTCTTTTTCTAGTTTATTGATATATGAGGTTGGATTATTGATTTGATAGCTTTATTCTGACCAAGTTAATGTAGCCTACTTTGTGTGTACCTGCCAAAGCTTACACATTCACATTGTGCAGTGGCCCACAGAGCAATCGCCTCTGGATGATATTCATTTATGCTACCTAACTGCTCAAATATCTGGGTGCCTGCATGTAACAGACCTCACCTCACGCGAGATGCCAGGTATAGGGATCCTTTCCCTTGTGAACCACAAACCCAGCCATCAGTCCGTGGGTAAATTTGCCCATTTGGATCTAATGTCAGATCATTGGAATCTCTGATGAGGTATTTACAAATGTTTGCATGGAGCGTGCTGTGGGCCAGCCTAGGCCCAGTACTCCACACACAATGGACACACAGGGAGGTGGGGCTCAGATGTGCACTGTGCTGAGGTCGGGGTGATAGGAAGCTATGTGGGCCCAGGGGTGACTCCCATCACCACTTAGAGCCTCCCAAGCCTGTGGGATAAGCTTCTGAAAGCACTCATACATTCAAGGAGGCATTGGTTCTTAGAAAATCAAGAGTCTGGGCCAAATTGAATGGGAAAGTTGTGTGATAGGATTAGGTAATTTTGGTCTTCCTACTCATACCTCCAAGACTGTAAGGTGTGGTTACTATGCAATGAGATGAAAGATAATCTTTGGAAGCCAAATTTAAACTAATATCTTAATCGATTAGTTTAATCAATTAAACTTAATATCTGTACCGATCATCACATTTAATATTCAGTCAGACTTCCCTCTCCTGGTTTCCAGATACATAGAGCCTGCTTCATGGAAGGTTTATCATCTGATTGTGCTCTTTGCCTCAAGCATCTCCTTTATTTATAATGCCATTATACCACTTGTTACGAAGTTTTAAATATGGGTGCTCTGTTTTCTAATAATCCCTTCCTGTGTATTTCTGACTTACAGCAGATTCAAAGTGCCATCACAGGCACTCTCAGCCCCCAAGGAATTGTGGTGCCTGCATCCGCGCTGCAACAGGGTAATGTAACTATGGCAACAGTGGCAGGTATGGCGATGGAAAAAAGGACACCTTTTCCTTGAGCTTTTGCAGAAAAAGTCCTTCATAGTAGAATGGAGTCTTGCATAAACATAATTTTTAATTAATGCCAGTTCCCTAATAGGAGTCCCAAAATCTAGGCTTCTTTGAATGCTTGTTTCTTGTTAATTCTCAATGACAAATACTTTATGCAAATTGTTTCCCTACCAAAAAATGTTGGGAAGAAAGGTTTTGTATAAGAGTTGAAACTATATAGCAAAAACTAATTGTAATTTCCAAATAACTGTTTGTAAATGTGCTCTTAGCAGTACCTGAAAAATCTTAAGTTGTGTCATTAATTGATGACAAGCAAATAAAAATGCAGTCTTAGTCTTGATCTAACTTATATGATAAAACCATCACAGGAAGGGGACAGATTTTCAAGTTCCCTGTTGCACCTAGAACATTGCAAATACAAGACCATCATGAAAATATAAGGAGGGGAAGCAATTTACACTAAAAACCCCTTGTAATAGCACAAAGGGAAACCTCCACAGCAAAATAAAGCACATTTGACCAAAAAGAGAAGCTTAATACAAATATTTGTCATCTGGTCCTTTGATATGTTCTAATTGTGAGGGAAGTAGAAAACGGGGGCAAGCAAAAGGCAAGGAAGTGCAGACCCTCTGACCCGGCCGTGCCCTGTGCACTGTTGTCAGGACAGTAGGGATGCCCGTCAGCATAGTGTCACCTGGGCACTGCTTGTGCAGTGAGTTCGCTTTGATAATTTACAGTGACAAGTCAGCAAGCAAAGTATCAATCATTTGAAGTGATGTAAAAAGCTCATCAAACTAGAGATTTTATTTCTTTCATAGTATAGTGAGAAGATTGGTCTTAAATCATTGAGACATAAATTTAATTTTTTTTCTTCTTCCTTTTTGAGGTGGCACAGTTTATCAGCCTGTTACAGTCGTCACTCCTCAAGGCCAAGTAGTGACACAGGCGTTGTCCCCTGGGACAATCAGGATCCAGAACTCCCAGGTGTGTGAGCCATTTGGCAGGATTGGGGGGCGGGGGAAGTGTTGCACAGGTGTGGAAGTGCAGGTGGCGGCAGGCTAGAGCCATTCTCTCTGGGTGAAGATAACTTATCTCATACTCGCTCTCCTACAGCGACCTCCAGTTAATCTGAATGTCAGTATTTTGTTTCTTTTTTACTCTTCACATCTATCATTGTAAAGTTGCAAAGTTCAGAAAAGTCTAAGGAGGCAGAAAAAAAGTCATCTGTTATTCCTTCCCTTAAACAACCACTGTTCTCCAATCTAACACTGCTTGTGTAGTTGTCTCTGCACCAGGAGATTTGAAGCCATGTGGACATGTCCTTCTCCCCCCCCACCCCCTCCCTCCCCTCCAGGCCCCAGCAGAACCGCAGGCAGGTTTTTGAGACCATGCCTAGCTGCCCCGCACCTCCAGCATGAGAGTATTGGCTGGGTTTTGGGCCTGTGTGCTCTGAAAAACTGTTCTTGGTCTTTCTGCTGTGCTTCTGCTGAGCCAGACCAGGGCTCCAGGGTGTCCAGGGCACTTGCTTAATGCCCCCCCACACCCTGGTGAGAAATCTGAAAGAGGGCTCCCCTTTTTTCTCTGTACGCTGCCCACTGGGGGCACTGCTTCAAGAAGGCTGGTCTGCTGCTCCTCCCTGTGGCCCACTAGCTCCCAGAGCAGAGAGGCACTTCCAGGGCAGAAGCGACAGCTGGAAATGCAGTGACATGCCAATACCTTGGGATGGTCCTACCCTCTCTGTGTCTTTGGTAAGATGAGATTGAACTTGGTGGTCCTCCAGACCCCTCTAAGTTCTGGACACACACACACACACACATATACTCACACATACGCACTCACTCATACACGCACACACTTTTACATTTAGCTGGGTTTAAATAAGAAAGTGTTTCTGTTACCCGTTCTTATTTAAGAGCGTTGATTCCCTCTGTATGTTAGTTGCTTGTCTTTGGCCTGTGCATATATTTTCTATATTCTTAACCACTTTGAGACCCCGCCTTGGGGATGTGGGTGTTTTTGAGGGGGCCTGGGGTGTGTGTGAGCTGGCACAGCCGGTCTGGGGTTCCCGTCTTTGAATTCATGGAAGGTTTTGTTGGACAGGCACACTGGGGCTGTTCAGGGCTGAGTGGTTGTGAGGCCTCAGAGTTTAGGTGACTTCCCAGTAAGCAGAGGGGTGAGAGGAACTAGGCCCACCCATGCTGGCCCTGGGTCCTCGACCACTCTTCTTTCCCTGTAGCTTCCCGTTCACAGTGGTGTAAGCACAGAGCAGGGCCTGGTTTGCAGTGTTGCCTAGTATTAAAGTGAACTGTTCTTGCTCTGGCCGGTGTGGCTCTGTTGGTTGGGCATTATCCCTTGCACTGAAAGACTGCCAATTCGATGCCGGGTGGGGACACATGGCCAGGTTGTAGACTTGATCCCCGGTATGGGGTGTCTACAGGAGGCAGCCTATCAATGTTTTGTTCTAGCATCCATGTTTCTCTCCCTTCCTCTCTCTCTAAAAATCAGTAAAAATATTTTTTAAATGTTTTTCTTTAATATATTTTATTGATTTTTTTTACAGAGAGGAAGGGAGAGGGATAGAGAGTTAGAAACATCGATGAGAGAGAAACCTCAATCAGCTGCCTCCTGCACACCCGCAGCCAAGGTACATGCCCTGACTGGAATCGAACTCAGGAACCCACAGTCTGCAGGCCGATGCTCTCTGCACTGAGCCAAACCGGTTAGGGAAGTAAAAATATTTTTGAAAAATAAAGTGAGCTATTCTTAGAGGAAAACTTTTAAAAATAAAATGCCTCACTTATATACTAGAGATTCATTTGTCCTGCTGTTTGAAAAGGAAGTTTCCTAATTAACTGAATTTTCTTAGACAAAAATTACTAGTTTAAATAGCAAACATACAAAGTTTGGATTATTTCAGTAGAACACCTTGTCATGTTTAATGTGACATCACTCCCCAGGTCCCTTTGGCAGATCCCCAGTGAGGGTACCTCCCTGCTTCTGCCTGGGTGCTGCCCCTGCTCTGGTCCACAGTGGCCACGGTGCCCCACTCTGCCCTTGTCCTTACCTGTCCTGTCCTCCCTGTTGTTATTGCTTCCCATGTGGCTGGCTGGAAAGCCAGAGAAAAGAGCTGCTCAGGTTTCTAACAGAAGAATAGACCTGATAGAGGCCTTGGTGGGGTGTTCTTTGAATAAAACCAGAATGTTATATGTATGATTCTGTCACAGCTGTTTAGGCTGCTCTGGGCTATTTTTTTCTTCTTTTTGTTGGGCAAAGTTTGGGTTCTTATGCTTCAGATAATTAGAGTGAGTAATTTACTAGCAGGTGCTTCTGTTGTTGTGTCAGAAACTCTCAGGGTTGGTTTTGTCCAGAGAATTGGTATTATCACGACTCTTGTTACTCTGGTGGTGGCATTACACAGGTGGACCTCGGCGGCACAGCAGTGTGGTGGCAGTCCTGGATGTGTCTGTGCCATCCCATCCCTCCCCCCCAGGACGGGTCCCTGCCCACTGTGGGGCCGGGGGATGCACATGGCAGGGGAGGGGGGGGCGGAGTGGGAATTTAGCCCAGCATCGCCCAGCTCCCTGGAAAGAATCTGCACGGTGGGGAAGTGGGCGTGGTTCGGATTCTCACTTCCTACTGCATTTCTAGGGAAAAGTGTTTTATTATACTTCTAATACAAACCCATTTAAAAACATTTTTGAGAAAAGGAGAAGCAACCAAGCGGTGAGAAGTTGATGTCTCTCCCTCCCCTTCTCCCCTCCACTTTGCCTGGCAGTCTTACTTCTACTATCTTAGTCAAGTTGCCATGTCATAGGTCGGTGTCCAATGTGCTGAAAGGCTCAGGTCAGATGGCAGGGGTTCCTGTGCTGCCCTCTGTGCCTCCCTCCCGTCCCCCAGTGGCCTTAGACAACCACTGTCAGGTCTTTTAGCCATTTCTTCTATTTCTTCCCTCCATGTTTATAAATAATGACCTTTTCTTTTAACTCACCTCTTAAAACATCTAGTTTTGGCTTCATAGTGGTCAGGGAGCCAGGACATGTGAAAAGACAGGTCCTCCCCATTCATTTCGAGTGGACTATAGTCAAGTCTGTTTTCAGTGTTAACATCATGTAAATACTGGGTTCTACTGAACTGAGTGTCTAACCATGGTGGCAGCACTTTTCCAGTTCAGATGCATGCTTCTCCCCGAGCTAATCACTATTTTATTTTCCCCCCTTTGCTCAGTGTCCCTGGTATCGATGGCCAAATCCTCCAGTATTCTCTGTGATTCCCCACCCACCCAGCCTGGGTAACACATCAGGACCAGTACCGCCCCGGAGCTCTCGGCCCTCCTGGTGTCTGGTCTCCAGGCTGCTCTGTCCAGGGCCAGTGTAGCACACATCCTCGGCCTTTCCTTTGACACCACCTTGAGGATCCCCTTCTCTTGGAGCCCACGTCTTCTACTTTCTGGCTTTACTGCCCCCTTTGATAACTTCCGGAGAAAATGTGCATACGAAGTACATTTTGCTGAGACTTTGCAAATCTAAAAGTCACTTGATTTTGGTCCCGTACTTAATAGGCAGTCTGTGTACATGTGCAGGTCCAGGTGAGAGTCACTTCCCCGAAGATGGGGAGGCATTTCATCATGTGTTCCAGTGAAAGGGCTGCCTCTGAGAAGCTTGGTGGTAGCTCTGTTTTCCAATCTTGCGTTTCCCCCTCTTTTAGATGCTTCTCTTTTCTCAAAGTTTTTGGTGCTGAGCACTGCAGAAGGACTTCATATTTTATGTTCTGGGACATTTCCTTGAACTCTCTGTGACAGCCATTCTCCCCACATTCTTTTTCTAGGGCCCTTAAACTGACCATTAGCCCTTCTGAACCATCTCTTGTTTTTTCCTTTCTTTTTTTTAAAAATATATTTTATTGATGTTTTTCAGAGAGGAAGGGAGAGGGATAGAGAGTTAGAAACATCGATGAGAGAGAATCATCGATCATATGCCTCCTGCACACCCCGCACTGGGGATGTGCCCGCAACCAAGGTACATGCCCTTGACCGGAATCAAAACTGGGACCCTTCAGTCCGCAGGCCGACTCTCTGTCCACTGAGCCGAACCGCTTAGGGCTGTTTTTTTCTTTCTTTATTGATTAAGGTATTACATATGTGTTCTTATCCCTCTATTGTCCCCCCCACCCCCCATCCCCGCTCATACCCTCACTCCCCTGGTGTCTGTGCCCATTGGTTATGCGTATATGCATGCATACAAGTCCTTTGATGAACCATCTCTTGATATCTGTGAATTTTTATATTTGTATTCCCATTGCCAACTTTTTGCCTACTTTCTGATTTTCTTTTATCTTCAAACCCCTCTATAAAGTTTAAAATCTTCAGCATTGTTTTAATTTCTAATATTCTTCTTTACTTCCTTTACCCTGCATCCTATTTTTGGTTCATGGTGGTTGAAGTTTTCTTTGATTTCGGCATGTTTTTTGTTTTCTCTGCATCTCAGAGTTTATTCACTTTGGTGTCTGATTTTTGTGATGGAGGCTTTCTTTCAAGTGTTTGGGGACACTTGGTTGCCCTTTTCAATGTAAACATGAAAGCTGTTCGGTGCTTGTCAAGTGCTGGGCTGTGGCAGGCACTCTGCCAGCCCTCAGTCATTTCTTCCTTAGTTTCTCTGGAGAAGGGCTCTCTGATCACTGCATAGGTCAGGGGCAGGAGAGACTGGGGTCTCCCGTTTTGTGTGCAGACTTTCCTCACCCCTCTTTCTAGCCCTGCCCCTCACTCCCGCACTCCAGCCATGCTCATGTGCCAAATCTGCAACATCTGGTCTGTTTCTTTGGGAAAGGAACCTTGAGCCTCCTGCAGGGGATGGGGACAGAGTAGTTATCTGCCAAGGATGATGGGGGGAAGTTGAGGGCCTTACTGCTTCTTAAACGGACTTTCAGCCACTTTCCTAGGCTTTAAAAATCCCATGTTTGGTCCAGTCCCAGGCTTTGCTCGAGCCTAGTAGGGTGAATGGGCCTTTACATGCTCTTCTCTCTGGCCTTGGTTGGCATCCCCAGCGCCTCCAAAGGCATCCTCAAAGTGGAGTCACGGGCCGTCCCTTGTCACGTAGCCTATTTATGAGCCTGCCTTTGCTTTAACCGGCACAGAAAAGCAACCCTGAAGCACATGTCAGGTTTCATGAAGAACATCGCATATTAAATGGGGAAAGATAGGGCAAACAAGCTAAATTTTGGCCCTGGTACTTTGGAATTAGTTTTAAAAGTTCATTTTTCATTCTTTTCCTTGTACATGAACATTAGCATACAGGTGGTGCTTAATACCATTTGCTTTCACTCCTTTAACGAACAAATACATTCCAAAAAACAATTCTGCCCTCAGTTATATCTTGAATTTTAAGAAATTTTAGATACAATTAGTGGTCGTCATATCTCCTTCAAGTCATAAATTCCATGTCTTTTTAGATGTTGGTGTTCTGGTTTTTTAAGAATATATCCCAAATGATGTAAATCCAGAGGAAATACAAATAAAATGGTGAAAAAGTGAATTTCCAAATCCTTTAAACTATGTTTATGAGTACATTCTACTGGAACGGACCTGTAGAAGCTGATGCTCGTTTGTCTGTAGAGTGAGATTCACATGTAAGCTCTGAATTAAAGCACGGGAAACAGCAGAGATGCCCCTGGTGTGTCCATGCCGAGGCCCTAGCGAGCCGTGCAATGGACGCTTGAACAGCCCGTGTTTGCATTTATGCGCAGGCGTATAGGAGGACCCGTACAGTTCAAACCCGCGTTGTATAAGGGTCCCAGGCATCTGTTTTCTTCCCTGGTCCCTGCAGTGACCACTGTGACACCCTCTCTGCAGGCAGGCTGGGAGAGAGGCTGAGCCCGGGAAACATGCCTGGCGCGGGCAGGGCTGGCGACATCAAGTCTTTTCTCAGGTTTGCAGGAGACATTCATCTAAGAACTGTTGTGTGCACCTTTCCTATTGAAATGGAATGACAGAAAGTGCTGTATACTTTCCTCAGGGGGGGGGAGTTCTGTTCCCGTGGCTGTGGAGGCCCCTGCAGCGGCCGTCACCACAGCCGTCGCTTTGTGATCTCTCTGTTGCACTTTGTGTGTTGCTGTTTGCTTCCCCCCTGTTCAGCTGGCATGGCCTCCTTTAGTTAGGGGTGCTTTCAGCTCCCCTGTGCATTCTCAGTGGTTGCTTTAAATCTTGGGTGTTATCACATCCATTCCTGGAAGAAGCAAGATGAGAACAGGTGTTGCATGAGAGACACGGGGCTCACATGTCTGCAGGTGAACAGCTCAGGGGCCTTCTCAGCATCCATCCCATCTGCCTCACCAGACGCGGGGCCTCTGCATAGCTGAGGCACTAGTGTAAGTAGTTGTCAGACAGAGGGAACCAAAGCCTAAAATCAGCCCGAACAGGGTTCCAGCAAATGTGCCTCTACTGGAAGTTAAGTCCCTTATCTCTAAGATCCTTGGGTATTTTCTCCATCAGAAGTCGTGAGATACTTGGAGGTGTCATAATTGTCTGTGCTCTCTAACGTTATCTTCCAATTGTTTAAAAGCTTCAGTTACAGTTAAACCAGGATTTGAGTATCTTGCATCAAGACGATGGCTCATCCAAGAACAAGAGGGGCGTTCTGCCAAAGCACGCCACCAGTGTGATGCGGTCCTGGCTCTTTCAGCACATAGGGGTAAGACCACATGACCTCGCGGAGAGCAACACCCTCCGCCAGGCTTCTTTCCGGCTTGTTTTCTAGAAAAAACTTGCCTGTACATGCTAGTAGGCCTGGTTTTTAATATCTGTATTTTGTTAACTGTCCATGTGGGTTGAGTGTGGGACAGAAGGGAGGGTTACCAAAAAATGGAGGACATCACTTAAACTTAAAATAAATGAGGGGACCACTGGTGAAGAAAATCAATTCAGCTCATACTAGTCTTCTGCATGTTAGAGAAGCTACTGATCGATGTTTCTAACTCTCTATCCCTCTCCCTTCCTCTCTGCAAAAAATCAATAAAATATATTTTAAAATATATATATATATATATATATATATATATATATATATATATATATATACTGTGATTATTATAACCAATAAATATAACTGTGATTGGTTTTCCTGTTAAGCTTCCTTTAAAAGTTTCTAAAATAATAACCCTGCTCATATATTCAATTAAAATGCCACATTTTTCCTCCTATGAAGTATTTTCTATCTCTGCTTGCCCTTGTTTTTTTGAATATTATCCTATCCTTATAGTTTTCCTAACACTCCAGGACAGCATTTACTACTGGTGTTTCCTGGTTTGTACACTTTTTTAAAATATTTTTTTAAATTCATTTCAGAGAGGAAGGGAGAGGGAGAGAGAGAAACATCAATGATGAGAGAGAATCATTGATCTGCTGCCTCTTGCATGCCCCACTGGGGAGCAAGCCCATAACCCGAGCATGTGCCCTGACCGGGAATCAAACTGTGACCTCCTGGTTCATAGGTCAATGCTCAACCACTGAGCCCACACCAGCTGGGGTGGTTTATGCACTTTTGTTTCCTGTCCCCTCTTCATTTTATGAGCTTTTTAAAGGGCAAGAGCAATATTTATGTTTTCATAACATCTAACTCGGGGCCATACGCTCATAGAATCAAATGGAGTTGCTGCCATCACATGGAGGGAGCAGGTAGGCTGCTGCTAAGATCACCCTGATGCTGCTCTATTGTCACTGACAAGCACAGCGACTTTTCCAACAGACTGAGTGTTCACTTAAAATAAAAACGGAAAAAAACACACCCAATATTATGCAGCTAGTTAGCATGATAAACAAGGGTGTGTACACTAGTTATACTAACTGGATAACCCTCCCGACTGTTGGTGCCATTCACTCTCTGGGGTCCCACTTGGTCTGAAATAAGAGACTTCAGTGCATGTAGGTTTTAGAGTAAATATCTTATTGGTTTCTACTTGTGGACAGTAATCAGTCCTGGATAAATGGTTTATCACCATAGACAGAAATTGTTTTCCTTTGGTACTTCTCTGAATTTTGAAATTCACTTCTGTTTTGATTCTGTTTTTTTAAAGTGAAATGTTTTAACCATATATAATAGAAAGAGAAATATAACAAATATAACAAATGCCCCCACTCCGTTTGGTGTCTTTAGCAACAGCACACGTGAACCTCTCAGAGATCATTCTTGAAAAGCCTTAGAAGATGTCAGTGCATCCATTGTTGGTTTCTCCTCAAGGTCCCCATGTAGAGACCTGCCACCTGAAGTGACGGCAGAGAGCAGCCTACCTGGCTCCTTGTCTGCCACCTCACATAGCCGGGCGGGGGGGGGAGGGGGGGTGTAAATTCTCCATGCTTCAGCTTCCTCATCTGTAAAGTAAAGGTGACAACAGTGTCTCAGAGGTGATGGTGAGGCACCAGTGAGTTACTGTAGAACGTGTGGAGGTGAGAGAAACCTGCTGTGTCAGAGGTTTGTGGGTCCAGACCCCACCATTTATCCACTGTAAATGGGTGCAGTTTATGGCCCATAAATTATACCTCAGTCAAGTTGACACAAAAGCTGTAGGTATGTCAGGTGCTTAGAACAGCGCCCAAGGTGGTAGCGCTGGGCAGTGTCCCTGTTGTCATCTCTGAGCCTCAGGCTGACAGGTCTGACCAGCCTGGGCTTCAACCAGCTGCCCCTGGGCAGCCAGGAGACACTTCATTCTGCTTGGGCGTTTCTAAGAACCTATGAGACTCAAATTTTGCACTGAAAAGTAGCATTGATTGGCACTTGTCAGTTGTTCGTGAGTGATTATTTGTGTGCCTGGATTTTACCTAGAAAACCCTGAGCTCCTTTTAAAGATTGCAGTTCATAGTAACCCTTTTTATTTTTAGCATCCCTACCCCACAGAAGATGAGAAAAAACAGATTGCTGCCCAGACAAATCTGACACTGCTCCAAGTGAACAACTGGTAAGACACACCACTTTCCAAAATTGTGCCTGTAAACATCATAGGACACTTGGGAACACTGACACTGAAATCTAGTAAAATTTGGTTGAAAATATGAGTTCTTTTAACTAGCAATATCCTGTTTTCAGAGTGCTGGAATTGGTGGTAGATACTTTAGAATAAATCAGCACACACTTTTTTTTTAAATTTATTGATTTGATTGAGAGAGAGAGAGATGGACATTGTTTTGTTGTTCCACTTACTTATGCATTCATTGGTTGCTTCTGGTACGAGCCCTGATGGGGGATTAAACCCTCAACCTTAGTGTATTGGGATGATGCTCTAACCAACTGACCCACCTGACCAGGGCTCAGCACACACTTCCAACTTATTTTTCATGCTCAACATCTCATTGTGGGCTTTTTGCTTATATCCTGCTTGCCTAATTAGAAATGTGTTCCTCTATTGCATTACTACTCCCAAGCTCTCAAATTCATTCAGAAATGTGATGTTTTCATGGCTAAGCTTTCAGGTGGTGGACAGCCGAGATAAGGTCCACCTTATCCTGACCTCTGATGGCCCCTCTGCAGCTCTCCCACCTTTTGAAACGTTGTGTTGTGTCCCTTTGGGGGAGGCAGTCCTCTGCCGTCTGTGTGGTGATCCTGCCCCACAGCAGCGCCTGGGGTGGGGGAGATGCCCAGGATGATGATTATTAATGAGACATTCTGCTCTGGTTTTTGTGTCACATGTGACTGGGGACACCTGGACCATGACCACGTGCGTTCCCTTCAGTCAGAGCTGTTCACATTACTAAGTGGCACTAAGGTCTAGGATGCACTTAGATTTTGTCAGTCACTCATCTCATGTTTGTTTACTTATTATTCAGACATAAGAAGTGATTTCAGCTTAATAAAATTTACATGCATAAAAGAAATGGCGCCCTAGCTAGTATGGCTCAGTGGATAGAGCGTTGGCCTGAGGACTGAAGGGTCCCAGATCGATTCTGGTCAAGGGCACATGCCCAGGTTGTGAACTCGATCCCCAGTAGTGGGCGTGCAGGAGACAGCCAATTAGTGATTCTCTCTCATCGTTGATGTTTCTATCTCTCTTTCCCTCTCCCTTCCTCTTAGAAATCAATAAAAATATTTTTTTAAAAAAAAATTTTAAAAATGGCATAAATTCTACCACTTGTAAACATGATTATATTCTTATTTTAACTGTTAAAACAAATTTGAAGTTCCAATGTAAATGACAATATCTCCCAGTTTATGTAATTAAATATTCAGGAGGCATGCTTTAGCATTGCATTAAATATTTATATTATCCTACACTTGAGCCATTATTTGTTATCTGGGTAGCAACAGTAGACCATACTATTTTTTGTTATTGTTAATTCTTTCAGTATAGAGTGCTAACAAAAATCTGAAGGTTTCAAATATATTGTTGCTGTGGTGTTTGTAATGTCTTGTATGTATCCTGTTGTTTTTGTGCAGCCTGGTGTTGAAACTTCCTATTGTGATGTAATCATGATAGTGATTGATTGATTGAGGTGAATGTTAGACACAGAGTAACAGTTTAATAACATGACCTTTGTAAAGTCTAAATTTTCTAAAGCCTTTTAATATTTATAGCTACTTTTTCTCTTGGTGACTTCTTTTCTTTTTTCACATTCACAAAAATTAAATTTATGCCTCATAGCAACTTTGAATAAGAATAAGGAAGCAGCCAAAACTGGTTTGGCCCAGTGGATAGAGCATCGGCCTGCGGACTGAAAGGTCCCGGGTTCAATTCCGGTCAAGGGCATGTACCTGGGTTGCGGGCACATCCCCAGTAGGAGATGTGCAGGAGGCAGCTGATCGATGTTTCTCTCTTATCGATGTTTCTGACTCTCTATCTCTCTCCCTTCCTCTCTGTAAAAAATCAATAAAATATATTTAAAAAAAAAAAAAAAGAAAGAATAAGGAAGCAGATACTGGAAAGGAACAGTGGGGTTCCATCCAAGGTGCTGCTGGCATCGGGGGACTGTAGGGCTGTCGGGCGGTCTCCTAGTCCAGTCCTGCTTGTGCTACAGGGACTGAAGACTGACGCAGAGGAAGGCTCTGCGGAGTCAGCCTCTTTGTTATTAGAATGTGTTCAAAGGCAATTTTACATGTTCTTGAATCTTAGGGTTTTAAAGTTAAGTAACCTTTGCCCAGCCAGTATGGCTCAGTAATTGAGCGTCGACCTATGAACCAGGAGGCCAGTTTGATTCCCTGTCAGGGGACATGCCTAGGTGCGGGCTGATCCCCAGTAGGGAGGCGTGCAGGAGGCAGCCGAATCTCTCTCTCCCGCTTCTTCCTCTCTCTGAAGTCAATAAAAGCATTTTTTTAAAGGGGCTACCATGGAGGTGTTGGTCTTTATTTAAATGAATTATCTTAAAAACAGCATGCCCTGTTTTTCCGGACACTTAGAGAATATGTGTGCCATATTCTAAATACCTGTTGTCATAGGGAATATGAGTTACTCTGATCGTCTTTGTGTGATTTATGAAGCAGCTTACTTACTGGGAGGACTTTGTTGCTCCTGCAAGGTCTTTAAAAAGGGTGTTTTGATGACAGTTCTTCCTTTGTCGACCTCAATGCCCAGGTTCATCAATGCTAGAAGACGAATTCTTCAGCCGATGTTGGATTCTAGTTGTTCAGAAACTCCAAAAACAAAGAAGAAAACTGCTCAGAACAGACCAGTTCAGAGGTTTTGGCCCGACTCCATTGCATCCGGAGCCACACAGCCACCACCCAATGAGCTCGCCATGTCAGAAGGTACGGGGATACCTGCAGGGCGGGTGGTGAGTCGTAAGCACTGTCGCTTCCTGTGAGTTTAGGGAACAGGAGCCAAGGTGTGTGCAGTTGTCTGTTTCTGCATCTGAAACTCGGGAAGCATTGTCCTGAGGCCTATGTGCTCAGACACTCACAGCGTATGAAACATGACCCACACCAAGACCAGCGTCCACAGCGCGTTGTGTCCTGTGTCCTTTCGTCTTTCTTTTCCCTCCCACTCACTTCTCACCACCTGGCACTTCGCCCTCTTTATTTACCCTCTTAGTCCCCTCGGTTCTTTGACCCGTCACAACCTCTCTGACGTGTTTAATGCACATCTTTCTGTCTAGTATGCGTATATTTTTAAATGTATATTGATGGTGTTCTTTTCATTCTCTGTCTTACTTTTTTTGACTCAGCAGCAAAACTGTTATTAAGGTAGGAAAGTTTGGGCCATTATTTCTTCAAATATATTTTTATCTCCGCACCCCTGTTAGGTGGTTACAGGTCACACAGTTGCGGATGGTCTTTCAAGTTTTGGATTCTTTTCTCTGTCTCGTGTGGATTGTTCTGCTCCTACCCATCAGCTGTACCAGTCTCTTTCTTCTGCGTGTTTAATCCCTCTGATCCCATCCAGCGTGCTTTTTGTGTTAGACCTTGTAGTCTTTGTCTCTAGAAGTGCCGTGTGAGTCGTTCTGTCCCTCCTGGGTCTGCCTACGTTTTGAATCATAGAGTGCAGTTACAGTCACTGCTTGACTCCATCCTCTGTTAGTTCTGGGTCTTGCTTTTGGGATTGGTTCTTATTCCCAGCAGTGCTCAGCCCCAGGCTGATCACCCCCTACAATCATGCAAGACCTAGGAGTGCTCCACCAAGTCTCCCGGGCATTGGGCGTGTCCACTCTGGCTAGAGAGTGCTGGCCACCGCTCTATAATCTCAGATGGTCCTTTCCCCAGCCCAGGTCATTTCCTCACGCGCACATGCCGGTCCGTCCTCTGCCCCGTGCTCAAGGCATACATTCCCAGCCGTGCTGGCCCAGGCTGGGACGGCCCTCACAGTGGGCTGTAAGTCAGGCTTATTTGGTTTCCATTGAACTCCTCTTGAGTTGCAGTGTATGCTCTTAAACCTTTGGCTTCCTCATGTGTGTTTTAGTATGTAGTGATCCTACATCCATATTCAAATAATTGCTATTTTCAGTTTTTATTTTCTCTTTTAATCCAATAATTAGAAAGGTATTTTTTCCCTCTCTCCCTCTCCTCCTCCAAAAGAAAAGGCAGTACCTGTCTGTTGGGGGGAAAAACAAGAATATCCTGTGAAAATAAATCTCCCCTCCATCCTGGCGTCTAGTCCTCTCAGGAGACAGCCTTGTTTCCAGTTTCCTGTACGTGCTCCCATTGCGCTTGTGCGGAGGTACTCTGTGCACAGACACGAGTGAGCGAGCCTCTCCCCAGATGTAACATATCCAGCGGTGTCTCCTCTTGCTTTCACACTTCATACCCTGGGTATCAATACACTGGAGACTTTCCCAGGTGAGCACGTGAGATCACTGTCGTTTCCAAGAAAGGCAGGGATTAGCGCGTCCCTTCCAAACTGGTCTCCTCACTCTGACCTTATGTCCCTTTTCTTTGTCTCCCCATTTATGCCTGTGTGGGCCTTTCTCCTGCCTTCACTGGTCTCTTTTGTTCTCCTTTGGCACTATTTCCATCCCGACCCCTGAGACCTTCAGCAAGGCCTGAGGCCCATTCTAGAATTTCTTAAACCCCTGTTGAGCATCCCAGAAACACACGGTCTTAATGAGAGGTCACATGAGCAAATAGCACCCAGTTGGCTGTTTTCCTCCACTGAGCACTAATTTGAATAGTGACCACTGCGTTCTGCCGATTTGCCACAGGAGCTGTTGTGACGATCACCACGCCCGTGAGCATGAATGTGGACAGCCTCCAGTCCCTGTCCTCAGACGGTGCCACCCTGGCTGTGCAGCAGGTCATGATGGCGGAGCAGAGTGAGGACGAGTCCGTGGACAGCCCAGGGGCTGGCGGGGCCGCACTCACCCCCACCCACATCAGTGGGCTGGTTCTGGAGAACAGCGACTCCCTGCAGTAGGCCAGGGCGCCTAGGACCCAGGGTGGCGCCAGGACCCAGGGCGGCGGGCCTGGCTTTTTATAGTTTGCACAGCAAACATTTTACACAGTTTTATTTCTGATCTGTTTTATATGTAGATATAGAAGAGTGCACTTTTGTATTTCATAGCAAGCTCAAGGGCGTCTGTGCCGGTGCAGCAACTTCTTTCAAGTGAGTGCGCGTGCGTGTGGGTCTTCAAGGAAATTCTTTAAAGGTTTAACGCTAAGTATGTGACAAATGACAAACCCCCATGATCCCCTAAGTAGATTAAGGAACTTTTATAAAAAAAATTATGCAGTTTTAATGCGTTCTGTGGTTAAAGCAGGTCCCCGAGGGCTGACTTCTTTGTGTAGCCCACAGGTTTGAAAGAAGCTTCTGCACCTTAAAACCGCCAGTGCGAGGTGGACAAGACACGGCCATAGACTGGTGTGACTCTGTGGTGAATGTACAACAACTTCAGTACCTTTACGTTCTCTCATAGTCAGTGAGCCTGTTTCATTTGCTATATATAAAAAGAAACTCCTATTTTTACCTTGCTGGAATTATTGGATAAAAAGCTATTTTTATAAATTCGTTATGAATTGGATTATGACTATATTGAGGATAAAATTTCTAGAGAAGAAATCATACGAGCTTACTATTTCAATTTGGAGTGTTATGAATTGACCAAATTTAATGAACCTGCCCCAAGATAGCTAGGGTAGTAATTTACATTTACTACTACAAAAGAAACAACTATTTAATGAAATTTTGATATGTAGTCAAATTTTAGTTTATATGTAAATGCTCAGATTTCATTTTCCACTTAATCTAAACATATATCTAAAGGTATTTGCTAAGTAGGACTTAGTTAAATGAAATGGTAGCCAGTAATTAGTTTTTACCATACATATTTCAGTCTAATTTAAATTTGACTACAGTTAAATGGTGACTATACCATGTTAGCTGTGTGTTTTAGAGTTTTTTAGTCAGCCATATGTTATACATAGAATGTTTATTATAAACTAATATAAAATGCCCTGTCCCACTGGCTCAGAGCTAGGGTAAATCACAAACATTCAGCTTCGTTTCATAGTTCTAGCAGATACCCATGAAGTGACCGGGACTGTGCTGACAAGTGGTGCACGCTCCTGCTATTGGCCACACAGGTTACCCTTGGTCCTGGGCCGAGGTTTTCTCCTTGTATGTGTTCCTCTGGAATTTCCAGAGATTTGGAATAATGTTAGGACTTCCATTTCCTGGTGCCAAGACGCATCAAAATTGTAGACTAGGTTTTTTGTTTACTTTGGTTGTTTTCATTTGGTCTCTTGCCATTGGAGTTTTTTCTCAGAGAGAAAACAGGGCGCCTTGTTTCAGAGAGGAAGTCTGTATGGAACCTTACCTGTGACACCCAGAGTTCAGCGTGTTCCCAAAGGAGGGTCTCATGGTTGGGAAGGTCGTTAGTTCTTGAGATTCAGCAGCAGTAACTGGTTATGGGCCAGGTTTACTTTGAACGGTATGCTGAGCTGGTGCAGATTTTTTTCTGGGACTGACTTTTAAAGTATTTCAGCAGCTTTAAAAAAAGCTTGACTGGCAACTCTTTGGGGAGAGCATACCATTTTAAAGTAACTTGCATTTCTTATTTATAAACAGTTTTTAATATTTTAAGTCTACATAACTTTCGAAGATCATTTTAGCTTTACTTACATTCTTACTTTGCTGGATTTCACAAAATGAGGACCTGTGGAAGCCAGCCCTGCCCGCCTCCCCCCGCCCGCCCTTTGTCCCTCTGGGCCACCCTGCTCGTTGGTTAGGGAAAATAGGGAATGTAGGCTCCTTACAGGTCATTGTTTCTCTCCCCACCAGAAACCATGGCCCTGAGGCAGCAGATGTTAGCCGAGGCTGCACACACCGCGTCGGTTTGGATGCGGCATGTCAGGGTTCGCATTGGCCTGGATTCAGCTTATGTGCCAGTGACAAGGCGCGCGCCTCTGCAGCTGAAGTGGTGTTCTTAGCCCTAAGCTCTTGTCACTGCCTGCAGGGGGCTAGGGCAAAGGTAATTTAGAGAGAGTGTTGGCATGGATAGGCACAGCCTGAGGTTTTTCTAACATCTTCCCTTATTAACACCTGACATGGCTGTTTGGGTCGTAAAACCACTGCCCAGTATGCTTGTTGTCATTTTCCACCTTATCGACACCCGTTTTCCAGACATTGGAGAGAACCTGTAAAAATACCTTTTCCATTGAATTTTTACTGTAAACAAACAGATCCTTTGTTGTTCAATTCTTTCCTTGTGAAGGATGCTTTTGAATGTTTTGAGACCCCAGGTAAGCATGTTGTCCCTGCTGCTCAGCTGGAGCAGATAGCTGGACCGGCTTTGCTGCACCCAAACAACTCCAGCTGATGGACTAACCCAGCTTTCAACCTTTGGCTCCAGATGGCAAGATACGTTTCAGCATTTATTCCGTGTGCAAAGGAATCAGTTCTGTGTCACCTCTCGGGTGACCCTACCCTGACCTGCGTGAAGAGTGCTGAGGCACTTTTTTTTTCAAACTTAGACAAACCCAGAAGGTGTGACAGGCCCATTTTTGGCAGTTAGTGACAGAAATGACTCAGCAATCTTCCTTTGTTTTAATTATGTTTGGTCTATGAACTGACAATCTTTAAAACGTGAATACTGTAACAATATGTTTTCTTGGATTGTTGTCTTTAAAGGGGATTTTTGTGAAGCAACTGATTTATCAAAGCAAAAAAATTAAAAATAGAAACACACTTTATGGATGTTTTCTTCTTTTTAAAAAAATATTTTTTTATTGACTTCAGAGAAGGGAGAGGGAGAGAGAGAATCATTGCCTGACTGCCTCCTGCATGCCCCCCTCCTGGGGATTGAATCTGCAACCTGGGCATGTGCCCTGACCAAAAATTGAACGCTGACCGCCTGGTTCATAGGTCAACGCTCAACCGTTGAGCCACAGTGGCCGGGCTGGATGTTTCATTTTCTAAAGCCCGTGTCACTGCAAGCTCCTTTCGCATTTGAAATAATACATTCAAGTTGTTGACATGTTTTGCTGGTGACAGTTGGGGTTTGTGGTGACCCCTGCACATTTTAAAAATTAAGATTACCCCACACTGGAGCCATTTCGTTTTAAGAATCTTCAGTTACTTCAGTTAGTCATTGGTTTTCCAGGAAAAAATGAGCCTAAGCCTTCAGCCTGTAAAAACCAGTAATGCCTGTGACTTTGTTTTATATGTTTTGTTTTCAGGGGGGAGGGGTTGGTATTTTATCATAAATCTAATTATTTCAATAGTAATGAGAAGATTATGACTGATGAGTAAGGTATTGCCTTTCATAGTTCCTGTGGTAAACTACATGCCCAGGCAGAACATTACAGAGTGGTTTTAACTCCCCAAAGCTGTATTCCTAGAGGCTAACGTGAGTCAGAAGACTTTAAATACTTTTTAACAAGTGCAGCTAAAATTTCAAATCTTGCTGGAGATTAGCACTCGCAGGGATGAAGTATATCGTTTCAGGAAGTATTCTGATAGATTTGACAGAAAACGGAGTCACTGTGTTGTCACTCCAACTCCTTTATGTCGGAGGTGAGAGGGTGGATGTGAAATTCACCCAGGTAAGGTCCAGCCCTGACCATCACCTCCAGGCTTCAAGTGCTTCCTTTGTAAAAGGAAAGGAATTGGTTTATAAAAGGAAATAAATTGGTTTTTAAGGTTCATTCTAGGTCAAAAGTGCTGTTCATGACAAATAAAATTCTATCTTGAAAGAGAAGGGTTAATTAATAAGTAATGTTATAGCAAATTCTTAAAGTAAGAAATGTATTTAGATTAACACTAGATTGCCCAAGGAAGTCATTTTGACTGCTTTTTTAATTTCAATTAGAAAACCAATTATGTATATAAGGACACAATGTCTTAGAATTTTGTGACTTTTTGTACAACATATAAATGCGTTTATTAATAATTGTAGTTACCTCCCCCTCCTTCATTTCCGGTATATATATATATGTGTTATACCTATATTGCCCAAAAGCAGTCATTTTGACTGCTTGGGAAATTTTAAATAATCAAATGACTCTTATTATTGAATTGAGTAAATTTCTTATATGACCAGTTCGGCTCTGTATTGAAATAACAGTTTTCATTTTTTTTCGATTACCGTCACATGATAACATACAAGTACATGATAAATTGTCGATACTTGATAAGTTGCAGTTGCTCAATAAGCTAAACTAGTACTTGTTATTCGAATCTTTATGCAGTGATACTTGTTCTAATAAGTTGTTAATTGTATTTCTTTTGCGCCCTAAATTCATGAAAGAAATGTCGAATAGAAGTGAGTTATTGGAAAAGCTAAGGAACATAAGTGAGGAGTGCTCCGATATTATACTTTCACGATGCAGTCATTTTGACTGCTTTGGGGCAATATAGGTATATACTAAGTTTCAGTCTTTCTAGTGTTAAATGTTTAGAGTTTCACTTTTTGTTGCATTATATATAATGCGTAAATGCATAATGCATAAATAATGCATATTATATTTATGCACTCTACGTAGACATTCTTAGCACAAATTATTTTAGCTCTTTACAATTAGATCCCCTTCACTGAGACTTAAGTTGGCTGTACCATTTTTTAAACAAATTTGCAAAGCTGTGGCACTATGGCATCTCAGCCAGTGTGACTTGCTGAAGAGCATGCTGCTCTAGGAGGCTCCCCGCCTCCATCGCGCCAGCCCCAGGCGCAGAATGTCCTGTCTCAACAAGATCTCCAGCTAGTCTACAAAGGACTGATTAGTGGTGCATGACTGAATAATTAATGATTTCGCATAGAGAAGTATTTGGAAAGGGTTACCTTGCACAGATATTTCTGTTTTACATCATGATTTAAATGAGGTCACTTGCCTCAGTGGAGACATCTGTACACCTCTCCATGTTAAGGGAGAAATGTGCTTGCACCAAGGATCTGCCCGCCATCCCTTCTCCTTTCAGATGCTTTTAGAATCCTCTCCCTTGTCTCCCAGCCTCCATGTGCTGGAGACACATAAGTCCGATGCCTTTCTCATTCTGAGATTTTCTATTTGAGCCCATAAAACCCAATAATGGCTATGGTATGGGGAGAAACTCTATCCCAGCAGGTTTGAAAGGAGCGTTTTTATTAGGTTGGTAACTTTAGTTGCTTAGACTTTTTTTTTAGCAAATGGCTAGTAGATAAAATCAGGTATATTTTTTTTTTATAAATTATTATTTTTTTAAATATATGTTACTGATTTTTTACAGAGAGGAAGGGAGAGGGATAGAGAGTTATAAACATCGATGAGAGAGAAACATCAATCAGAGAAACCTCCTGCACAGCCCCTATTGGGGATATGCCCGCAACCAAGGTACATGCCCTTGACCGGAATCGAACCTGGGACCCTTCAGTCCACAGGCAATGCTCTATCCACTGAGCCAAACTGGTTAGGGCAAATTAGGTATATTTTAAAAATATTTTTCTGTATGTTAACCCAATTTTTTTCTGATATTTCAACACTAGAGGCCCGGTGCACGAAATTTGTGCATGGGGAGGGGGAGGGTGTCCCTCAGCCCAGTCTGCACCCTCTCCAATCTGGGATCCCTCTCACAATCCAGGACTGCTGGCTCCCAACCACTCGCCTGCCTGATTGCCCCTAACCACTTCCCTGCCAGCCTGGTCACCCCAACTGTCCTCCCCTACAGGCCTGGTCCCCCCCAGCTGACCTCCCCTGCTACCCTGGTCAACCTTAACTGTCCTCCCCTGCTGGCCCAGTTGCCCCCAACTGCCCTCCCCTGCTGGGCATCTTGTGACATGGGTGTGGACATCTTTGTGTTGGAGTGATGGTCAATTTGCATATTACCTCTTTATTAGATAGGATAGCAATCCATGTCAGAAGTCATGAAGCCCTTGATGGTTTGTTCTGGGGTGTTAGTGTAGCTCTGAGTTTGCAAACTAGGGTGTGTGTCAGAGAACAGCCAGGGGGTGGAGGAGACGTGGCTGAATGGAGCCAGGGAAGCCGAGAAAGCAGTTTCTAGGGAGAGCTGACCTGTGGACTCACAAGAGCACGCAGGGAGCCTGATGCTGTTCCCCTACTTTGCTGTTGGGTGAAGGGAAGGCATTTCAGAGGAGTCTGGGAGTAGGCTGCACACAGCCCACTGCTAGTCAAGACACCTGCTTCATCCAGGGTGCAGTGCCATCCTCAGCGTGAACAGGCAGCAAGGCGGCTCTGCATGCCTACTTAATATATAGTCCAACCCCATCACGGGCCACAGAAAGGCCCAGGATCAGCCAGGGAGGCAGTCATGAGGGAGACGCCTGCTCAGTCCCAGGAGGAAGGGCCAGATTTGTTTTGAACAGAATCACAGAAGCCAGATTGAACCATAAAAGTTATATGCCTGTTCTGTTATTAAAATGCTTAAGAAGTGACTCATTTGCAAACCAGTGTTCCTAAAAGTGTTTCAGGGCCTGATTTAAATACCCACTCAGTGGTAATGAGCAGCATCTATGTCTTTCCCATTGGTGTGCTGCTCAGACAGCAAGCTGCTCAGGTAGGTTACATGTGATCTTTCACTGCTGTTCTTGGTAGACACTGGCCCAGCAAGCCTTTTTCTTTTTAAGCAAACAGCACGAGGACACCAGCACTCTCCACTGAGCCCAGAGCACTGGCTCCCTGCCTCGGAGACTCAGAGCTGAAGGTCCGTAGGCTGCATATCCATGGCCCCCCCGCCCCCCGCAGGGGACGCTTCAGTCCACCCAGGCCATGCCCAGGCAGCGGCGAGTCCCCACCTGGTGCAGCCATCACGGCTGTGTGTGGAGGGCAACGAGGCCACACTAATGAGAGGAGGAAGGGGTAGATGCCAAGTAGATCAACAGTGACCCCAACTCTGGGCATCGTTGTCATGCCATGGGCTTCAAGATCCCAGCAGGAGCATAAGGCAGGCAGTGCCTGGCCACCCATACCCACGGCTGGGACTCTGCATGGATAGCCTGTTTCCTTGGCCCCTCAAAGCATCACTCCTGGGCCCTTTCAACCACAACCTGTGGCTGCCGGGCCCTCCACGACCTCCCCTGGGGGAGACAGTTTTCTCTCCTGTGTGGTACTTTCTCATCTTCCAGTGCTTTCCTAGCAAGAAGGTCGCTTGCCTCGGTGACATCTATACACCTCTCTGTTGTTAAGGGAGAAATGTGCTTGCACCAAGGATCTGGCCGCCATCCCTTCTCCTTTCCGACGTCTTTAGAATCTGCTCCCTTGTCTCCCAGCCTCCATGTGCTGGAGATGCAGAAGTCCGATGCCTTTCTCATTCTGAGATTTTCTATTTGAGCCAGGTTTCCCCACCCCTGGAAGCTTTAGTTGGATCTTCTTGTCCCAAGTGATGTTCACCATGGTCCCTGTGTGGCTCCTCTCAATCTGCAAAATGTCTTTCAGTCTGGGACAGTTCCTTGAATTATTTCCTTCTGTTTTCTTTTTCCTTTCTGGAGCTATTACTGGTCAGATATTAGAATCCAAGAAGTTTTTAGAATTGCAAGCACAAGAAACATGAAGAAAAATACATCATGGTGCATTTTTATGTCTAAAACAATATTGAAAATGAACAAAGACGGAGGACACACTTCCTGATTTCAAAACATACTAAAAAGCTACAGTAATGAAAAGAGTGTGGCTCCGGCATACGGATAAATGTATAGACCAATGCAATAGGATTGGGAGTCCATAAGTAAACCCATACGTCTATGGCCAATTGATTTTCAGCAAGAGTGCTGAGACCAGTCAATGGGGAAAGAATGTCTCTTCAACAAATGGATATCAACATAAAAGGATGACGTTGGACACCTCACACCACGTATAAAAATTAACACATAATGAGCCGACTAAGTTAAAAGTATAAAACGCTTAGAACTCCTACAACTGAATAAAAGACGATTTAAAAATGGGCAAAGAACTTGACTAGGCATTTCTCTCCAAAGAAGATATACAAATGAAAGGAAGCCCGATGTCATTGGTCATTAGGGAAAGGCAAATCAAGACCATGAGATGCCATGTCACATCCACTACCAGGGCAATGAAAAGAAAAGGAAATTAAGTATTGGCAAGGACAAGGAGAAATTGGAACCCCATGTATTGTGGTGGAATATAAAATGGTACAACTACTATGGGATACAGTCTGGCAGGTCTTTAATTAGCCATAGAATTAATTACACTACCCAGCAACCCCAGTCCTGGGTGTCCACCCAAAATTATTGAAAATAGTTATTCAAACCAATACTCATACATGAATGTTTATAGCAGCACAATTCACAATAGCCAGAGAGAGAGAATAACCTAAGTGTCCATCAATGATAAACAGATAAAATGTGGTATATCCACACAATGAAATATTCAGCCATAAAAAGGAATGAAGTACTGATACTTAACTACAAAATGAACCTTGAAAACGTGTTAAGTGAAATAAGCCAGACACAAAAGGCCAGATTGTATGATCCCATTTATCTGAAATATCCCAATAGGTAAATCACAGAGACATACTAGTAAAGCAGATTAGGCTGCCAGGAGGGAAGGGGGGGAGGGGAATGACTGCTTCTGGGGGTGATGAAAATGCTTTGAACTTGGCAGAGATGGATGTAATAAATGCCACTGAATTGTACATTTAAAATTTGTTCATTTTAGGTATGTGAATTTCACCTCAATTAAAAACCAAAATACTCAAGCCACTGTAACCAGCCCATCCCCGCGCAGAGTGCTGCTGTGTGAGGGTCACTGAATGGTCCTTACTTCCTGAGCCCCTTCTGCTGCTCCCCATCTGGATTCTTCTCCAGAAAAGGCACTTCCTTCTGCTTCCAGGCCATTCTGCCCCCATCATGCATGGGTCCATCCACCTGGCTGAGTTCCCTTTTAATAAGGTTTCCTTGTTGAAACATTTTTTAAGAGAAAGTTAAAAAGAAAAGCACATTTTAATAAACCATAGATTCATCCAAGTGTCAGGTGTTAAGGGAAACATTTCTGCTGGCCTTGGGCTAAGTACCCTAAACCTGCTCATTGCTGCCCATAGCAACAGGGCAGTCCCCAGCCCTGGGCAGTTAGAAGGCACACAGGCTTGTTTAGTGTTTGTGGGAGCAAAAGAGCAGGTGGCATGTGCGGGGTCAGAGCTGGACTACTCTGGATTCCAAGGCATTTGCTGACTTTGTCTTCTGGTCCCGCTCCCGGGCAGCCACAAAGTTCAGCAGGTCAATGGCGGTGACGACCCCGAACACCATCTGCCTCTTGCTGGACTTCCCGGGGCTGTGGTCTGAGGAGGGAATCAAGGCAGTAGGTTAAAGGCACCTCCACAGGGAGCTGCACCTACGCCCAGACACGGTCCGAGGCTGAACCAGAGTGTGGCCCTGGGGGACCAGCCTGCCCCTGCCCCAGTGCCTACAGGCACCTGTGTACTGTGGGAACCCAGGCAGCACCCACAGAAGCCCACCAACAGATGCCTCTGCTAACAGGAGCCATCTGGGCGAAGCTGCAGAGAGCAGGGTGCTAACCTTGCCAAGCCATACCCATTGGCCACACACCTGTGGTCTCTCTGGGTGCCCAACACTCAAGTCTTGGCATGAGATTCCAACACCAAGCACACCCACCAGCTACGTCGGCACACATCGATGGCCTGTGATTATCTTCAAACCCATGCTTTTCTTTGGGAATTAGAACGAATGCTGGCCCTGGCCCTGGCTCCCCAAAGAGCAGTGAGGATTGTTGAGGTAGTTCGACTTGACTGGCCTGGGGAATGCCCAGATTTGGTCAAACACTATTCTGGGTATTTCTAGATGAGATCATCAGTTGGATCGGTAGATTGCCCTCCCTGGTGTGAGTGGTGGACCTCATTTAACTAGTTGAAGACCTGAATAGGAGAAAAAAAAAAAAAGGCTCCCCATGTAAGAGGGGACTTTTCCAGCCTTTGGACTTGAACTGAAACATTGGCTCCTTCTGGGTTTTGAGTCTGCCCACTCCCCCTGCAGATCCTGGGACTTGCCAAACTAGTCATGTGAGCCAGTCCTAGTAAAATACAAATCTCTCTCTATACACACATCCCACTGGTTCTGTTTCTCTGGAGACCCTTGACTGGTCATCACGAAGCACAGAGAGCCAGGTGGAGCTGAGGGGTGGGAGGGAAGTGCCCAGGTCACATTTTTATCCCGCCAGACCCCATCCCAGCAATTTCACGGCCATCTGTCCCTAGGGTGGGGATGCGGCGAGACAGAGGAGCCAGGCACCCTGCTGGCCTATTCGGAGCACCTCAGGAAAAGACACGGGGAGCAAAGAGGAGACCAGCTCCCCACATTTCAGGGACTTCGAGGCCAAGTGGCACTTTGGAGAAGCGTGTCCCCTGCAGGGGAGGGTGTCTGTGCAGCCTCTGCAACCTGGCCCTCCAGAACCCCGGAGACTCATGCACAGAGGAGCTGGCCACCTTTGTAAAGGTCAGAGTCTGTTATGACCCCGCAGTTCTGCCAACAGCACGAAGACAGCAGTGGACACGGTATGGGGTGTACTGACCCTGAAATTGGGACTCACTCTGGGGGGTGATCATCTATGAGTAAATGTGAGGCAAGGAAGAACCTCCCACCCAAGCTCTCGGTCTGGGAGCCCGGATGCCCTCCTTTACCCTCAGAGCCGCAGAGCCATTTCCGAAAGGGAGACAGCGGGCGTACATACCTGCAGGCCCCCCCACCACTCCTGCCAAGGCCTGGTCCCGTGCTGTGGAGCCAAGGACGGGAGAGGGGTTAGGCTTGGCCACTCAGGTCCCGAGACGGCCCTCAGCTGGGTGTGGGCGGGATCCAGGGCACTCCCAATTCTGATTACGACCCTCACCCTTGTGGGCACCCAGGCCTGGCCCACAGAGGGGTTCCTGAGAACCGTGCCCAAGGCTGAGGATGGCTGAAAGTCACCACCACTGACTCCAAAAGCCTGTGAGGCTCCAGCGCCTCGCTGCCCCCCAGGCACTCGGCTGCAAAGCGCAGGCAGCAGCCTGGACCGGGCCTCAGGGGCCAGTGCCCTCAGGGCTCCCCCAGCCCTGCCCCCAGCCCCACTCACACTGGATCTGCTCGTGGACCACCAGGGCGAAGTGGTCCATCTCCAGGATGCGCGAGAGCATGCCCAGCGGGTCAGTCAGGCGGATCTGGAAGAGAGGCCGCGGTCAGCGCTCACCAGGCCCTCGGCGGAGAGGAGCGCAATGGAACCTGAACTGTTTGGACAGCACGTTCTCCTGGGGTCTCTCCTTGTTATGGGGAGGGAGGGGGCACAGCAGGAACCACATGACAGGTGATGGCATTGGGGATGAAATGGCACAAATATACGGATTCCGGTGACATGTCAGCTGTGGGGGGCGGAGGGGCGGGGGGAGGAAGGTCAAGTTATCTCCTAGGTCCTAGGTTTGGGCTCACTTTTAGTCCCACTCACTGGGAGGTTGGAGAAGGCAGGTGTGAAACGGGGACCAGGGAGAGGGGACGCCCCGATGGCACTGCCCTCAGGGACACACAGAGCAGGGTCCAGTCGGCTCTGCCCAAGCCTGTCAGAGGGAGGCCAACACTGTCTCAGAAGCGGAGGCTTCTCCCAGAACATTCTATTTATTAAATCACTGTGTGTGCCAGGTGTTCTTAAATGAATGCTTCACGGGGAAATGAGGGCCCGATGTTAGGAAACAGACCCCCAGGTGTGGCCAAAATACAGCAGGCGTGGGAGAGCCCTCACGGATGGGCCTTTCCCACCGGCTTCCCTGCAAAGCTGGGCAAATTCTCAGGTGTACAAGTTCGAGAGGGGCAGCCAGCACTAACCCAGCTGGCACGGGAGCGGTGCAGAGGGTCGGGGACCTGGCCCCCTTGCCCAGGAAGCGCTGTGCCCACTTACAAGGACAGAAGCGTGTCTTGGCACGCATGGCCCCAGTGAATGGGAGCTCATACCTGCTTGAACTGCTTGTAGATGACTTTGTGAACTTGGTCTGACGGCTGCACCTTCCCAGCGAGCAGGCATGACAGCATGTTCCCCAGAGTCACCATCCCCAGGATCACTCTGGGGGTGAGGGGTCGGGGAGGGTCAGTGCAGGGCCCTCCCTGAGACCGCAGGACCTGCCCACAGCCGTCCTCCCTCGGCGCCAGAATGCAGAATTCCTCTCAGAATTCAGCAGACACCTGCCGAGGGCCCAGGCGTGGCAGGAGGACAGTGATCAGATGCCCTGCCCTGGACCTGCCCATCCAGTGGCAGACAGTAAGCCAATGAGTCCTTTGGGTATTTCCATTTGACAAGTGTCAGTCAGGGGGCTATGAGACGTCTCCTCCCGGGCTCAGTGCAGTGGGTGGGACACGGGTTAACACGGCCACCCCCCGCCCAGCCAGTGCTCAGGAACATGTCCAGTGGGTGGCCCAGCGCTCTGGACATCCCTGAGGGACTGAGGTCAGACAGACAGACAGCCCTGTCCTGGGGTGTGGCCAAGACTGACCCCGATTCATCGACCACGGGCACCTGGTCGAAGCCCTTCTCCCGGAGGATCTCGATGGTGTGCTTGCAGGTGACCGTGGGCAGCACTGTCAGCGGAGTGGACAGGCTCAGCTCCTGGACTTTGAGGTGCCACCACCTGAGGGAAGAGGGCAGGGCAGGGAGGGCTGAGAGCCGGCAGGTGGGCGTCAAGGGCAACATCCCACAGGGAGACCGTGGGACCGACCAGCCAGGCATGGGACAGAGCACAGACACCCAGGTCCTGGGTGTGGCCCTGCTCAGAGATGTCCTCACCAGGGCTTCTTCATGGTGAGGTCCTCCTCCTTCAGGAAGCCCTTCTGCAGCATCCACCTGTCGCTCAGGAACTTGGACCTGGAGGCGTCAGGAGGTCAGCAGGGCCTGGCAGAGGGTCTCACCACCATCTCTGCCCACACCAAGGGGCACAGTCCCCACAGAAAGCCCAGGACCCTCCCCGACCCCATCAGTCCAGAAGAGACCCCATGTGGCTGGCTGGAGCTCCAGGAAGAGACCTGGGAACCAGACTGCAGAGCACCGTGGGAACTTCATGTCCAGGGGCATCTGGTCTACCAGGGAGGAGGCGCTCAGAGCACAGACGGTTCTGTCCTGGAACCTTTGCTGTCAGCCCCGTCGTGCTCCCTGGACGTCTCCTCCCCAGCCCTCCTCACTTCTGCTTTGCCAGAGGGAGCAGGGGAGCCTGACCCACTTGGGTCAAAGCCTCCAGACCAGGCCTTGGGGGCTGCCAGGGACCTGCTCTAAAGAGGTGGACTGAAAGAGGGGGTGGAGGGTTGTAAAGGGTAGGGGCAGCCAAATATATGGTGACGGAAGATGATTTGACTTTGGGTGGTGGGCACACAATGCAATATACAAATCATGTGTCACAGAAATATGCACTCGAAGCCTATCTGATGCTATTAACCAATGTCACCCAACAAGTTAAAGAAATAAAAATAAAGTGACATGTTGCATCCTCCAATAGGCCAGAAGGCAAGGTGGAGGGTGTGGCAGAGATGATGCTCAACTCAAAGAGTGGAAGACGAAAATAAAAATAAAAAATAAAATAAATAAATATAAAGGTGGCTTGAGGCCCCACGTAGTGGGGAGCAGATGACCCTACGCCCCAGTGAGCAAGACCGGCCTGAACAGCAGGCCAAGAAAACTCGCGCTCAGGAGCCGTGGGTGGAGGCCTGGCTGGGGGGAGGGGGGTGCAGAGCTTGCAGGGCCCCTGGCTCCACCCCGAATCCCTGCTGTCAGATCTCAGGGGAGATCCAGTGGCGTAACCACAGCATCCCCTTGGCGGAGCCAGGGAGGGACAGGCCTGCAGGTGGGAGGAGGGAGGAGGGTGGAGGCTTCTTACATGTAGTTGCGGACAGAGTCGGGCAGAATCACCACGCAGCGCTGGCCCTCCCGCAGCTCCTGGGCCGCCTTCACGGCCACCGACATGGCGCTGCCAGAGCTGCCACCTGCCGAGAGGGCCGGAGTCAGACCCAGGCCCACGGGTCAGAGGGAAGTGAGCCGGCAGGAGCCTGGTCCCATCTCCTCACCATGAAGCGCTGGAGATGGACACCCTCCAGCCTCTCCCAGCACCCGCCCTGCTTTAGACCCCCATTGACGGGGAGCCCCCCCAAAGGACAATGCTGGAGGGCGACTGAAAAAGCCAGGTGTCCTGAGATCGCTGGCCCCAAAACAAATACACCAATCACAGTGCTGCCAGGCCTCCTCTCAGCGGCCACCCCCCCCCCCCCCCCCCCCACTGGTGACTGCGGGAGCAAAGCCAACAGCTGCTTCCTCTTTCCGTCAAGCTCTAGGCTCCCCAGGCCTTTCCAGGACCTCGTGCCACGCCCCGCGCTCCGGTGGTTAAACACAGGAAACAGAGCATGCGGCTGCAGGGACCCCAGGACCCCAGACCTCTGGCCACACGGGGAAGGGGCACTCCTATCCCGCCTGGGGAGTGACCGCCCATCTGAGGACAGGCCAGCTGATCTCCTCGGGTTGGAGTGGACGGACGGCACCCGGGCAGCCCCAGAATGAGGGTGCCCTTTACAAATCTGGACTGGAAGCTGGCAGAAGGCAAGCGCCCCCGTGTCGTCTGCACCCCGGCCGCCCAGCACCTGCCCGCCACTCACCGCACAGCAGTCCCTCCTGCGCAATCAGCATGCGGGCAAAGGCAAAGGACTCCTCATCGTTGCACTTGAACCACTTGTCCACCACCTGCGGGCAGGACCAGACTGCCGGCTCCAGGAGGCGCTCGGGCAGGTGTGCGGTTGGGGTGGGGGCCCCACAGCCGTGTTCACAACCTCACGGACGCCCTCAGTCCAGGAAGATGTGACCCTTAACGGGCACAGCCCGGCACCTTCTCCGGAGTCTGAGACTCATGTCTACAAACCTGGAACTTCCTACCTCTCCCTGGTCCATCACATTGTGCACGTGGCAATTATACTGCCCGCTGGCTCCCGCGGCACAGCCGTATGTCCTGTGGCTGGACTCTGTGTCCCTCAGAACGAAGCCCCTTGTGGGTCCGTAGGAGGCCGTTCTGGGGTCCTTACCTCTCCGTTTCCCCTGCTCTACTGCCAGAGCTCCCACCTCTGCAGGGGCCTGCTCTGTGCCCCCGGCCAGACCTCAACTGCTGGGAGTCTTTGCCCAGTGGGTTCATGTCACTACTTGGATATGGCGCGGCCTGCCACCTGGTCCTGACCTTGGACCTACCGTTCCTCTACCTGCTCGTATAGGGTCATGTTTCTCCTTTCTGCCCCAACAGGAAAGCCAGGCCGGTGCCGGGGTCAGCCAGCCATGCAGACGTGCAAGCTGGTTAAAGGGCGAGCCCTGAGGACCGGCCGCGATCACTGCGGCCCCACCTACCGTCCGGTCCAGCACCGTGGGGATGAAGTCATAGCCAATGCCCTCCACCTCGTAAGCCGTCAGCTCCGTCCGGTTCAGCTCCTCGGGCTCAGCAAGGATGGAGCCTTCGGGATCCACCCCGATGATCTACAGCGGGGAGACCGTCAGGGCTCGTGCCCAGCAAGTCTAATGTGGATGTTCCCGCCCTCATCGGGGCCAAGACCACCCCGGATGGGCACCTGTTGATGATCTGCCCGTGGGATGCAGGTCTCGTGCCCGGCTCTGGGGCAAGACTAGAAACCCAGAAACCTGGGAGCCAGGGTGATTCCAACTCAGGGGCAGCTGGGGGAAGGGGTTCCCGGGGCAATTCCTCTGCACAGAACTACAGGACAGCCTGGCACAGGCCCTGGGGGGCAGTGGGGCCTGGAGAACAAGGCGCAGTGCTGGGCACTGACCTCCTCCTGGGCTCAGCACCACCCGCCAGATATTTCTAGGAGCCCCCACCCCAGGCCCCTCAACTCCAGGCCCCTCCCTCTCAGAGCCCCAGATGGGGCAGACGCAGGACCTGAGCCTAAAAGCTTAGATTCACAGTGACCCTTGGGGGCCACCCAAAATAACTCCCACCCCGTCATCTGGTCGCTGGATTCCTCGCTCCCGGGCAGGGCCCGCAACCCCCTGGCCGCCCTGGGGCACTCACTTTGCATCCAGGACACTTCTCCTTTAGCTTCCTGGCGATGCCTGTGATGGTGCCACCTGTGCCCGCCGAAGCCACCAGCATGTCCAGCTTCCCTGATGGGGGAGAAGCCGTATCAGGAAGAACGTTCTAATAATAAGTGAAAACTTCCTCGACCGAGATGAAGGCAGGTTATCAAAAAGGTCAGACTGTTCCGTTTCCACGGCTCTCATCACTGTGCTTTATCCTTAAGAAGCATCCATCACCGGGTCACAGGGCCGCGAGCTTCATTTACGTCTCGGCCCCGGGACCTATGTGGTGTAAGGCCCGCCAGGCGGTGCAGGAAGGACAGATGCGGTGGCTGCCTGGGGGGGACGGGGCACAGGGAGGCTCCTCATGATGCACTTTCTTTTTCTTTTTTTTTTAAATATACTTTTATTGATTCCAGAGAGGAAGGGAGAGGGAGAGAGAGAGAGAAACATCAATGATGAGAGAATCATTGATTGACTGCTCCTACACACCCCACCCTGGGGATCGAGCCACAACCCAGGCATGTGCCCTTGACCCGGAATCGATCCAAGACCTCCTGTTTCATAAGGTGACACTCAACCACTGAACCACACCAGCCAGGCATGGTGCACTTTCTTCTGCTGTTTGCTTTAGACGATGACAAAAAGGTAACTAAATTGTGCAGGAAACAGAATAAACCACTCGGGCTTGGTTCAGAAATCATCTGGGCTCTCCCGCTGCGGAGCGCCAGCCCAGGCACCCTGCAGACAAGTCCACGCGGGCCCCATGCCGAGGCGGAGGGCTGTTTTTGCCAAATGAGAGAATTCTCACACATAAAACTTCGGTGAGCAAATGCCTGGATCTCCCTACCTGGCTCCTGGGCATGGACGGAGCTGCACTTAAGCCAATGCCAGCACTAGACTCCCAACAGGAGTCCAGGGTGCCAACCCCCTGGCAGAATCCCCTCATCTCTCTCAGGGAAACAGCCCTTCAGAAGGCATCACAGCCCCATGGCCTTGGCACCAGTTACGTGGCAACGTTCCAGGGAGCCTCACGTCTGTATGGAGAGTAAGCTAATCATTGGCATTACCATCCAAGCTCGGAGACGGGAAAACCTGAACGTGGAATTCAAGGCCCAAGTCAGGGCTTGATGCCTAGTGCCATTCAGCAACGTGAAGTCCCAGCTGTGAGCCCAGCCCAGCCAAGGACAGACTCACTCCCTGCACTCAGGAGCTTCTGCAGCTGGGCAGACAAATATGCCTGCCTGATACTGTGCAAGAGAGCACAACAGAAGCAGAAACCACTCTAGAGAAATGCTCTGGATAGCACTTCACAGAGAGGGGACATTTGCTCTGGGTTTTGAAGGATGAATAGGAGTTTACCAAAGAGCAGGTAAGTGACTTGTACCCTCTCAGGCACCCAGGGAGAGCGGCAGTGAAGGGGAGAGGGGTGAGGATGGACGCACACACCGTCACACTGCTGTAGGATCTCCTCGGCCGTGCTGTCGTAGTGAGCAATGGGGTTGTTGACGTTGCGGTACTGCACGGAGAGAGCAAAGGGGCTGTGAGAGGAAGTCAGAGACACTGAAATGGCAGCAGGCACAGGGCTGCAGGCAGCTTAGGAGCCTCAACAGACACAAAACATTAAACCCAGCTCTTCAGATGTGATTTCTGAATAATCCAGGAGCAAATAAGTGAGACAGAAGAGCTTCCAGTAAAAAAGCTTTTCAGACCCTCAGAGGGCTTCCGGGGTCCTCAGCAAAGGGCATGCCCACCCGACGCGATGAACTGAGGCGCTGGCCGCACGCTGGAGGTCCTCTCCAGCCGGGAGAAGCCCCTGACACGTGCCACTTCCTGTCAGTCATCTCAGCAGCCCCCATTCCCTCTGCAAAGGTGGCACCACCCCACCCCTGACACAGCCCCCAGGAGTGCCCACTGGGTCCACACTCTGAACGCACATTTGCACCCGTACCAGCCTCACCTGGTCCAGGATGTGGGAATTGGGGATCTCGTTCTTCAGCCTCCACGCCACCCCCACGTGTGACTCGGGGGAGTCGAACCTGGCGTTGGTGGGCGTCCTCACGATCTCAGCCCCCAGCGCCCGCAGGACGTCTACCTGCAGAGCAACATCGAGCGTTTACCCACCTGCCAGGCCTTCTGAGCTGGGGGAGGGGTCCCAGGAGGCAGGCCCACCACCCACCTACCTTCTCCATGCTCATCTTCTCCGGCATCACGATGATGCAGCGGTAGCCCTTCACCGCAGCTGCCAGGGCCAGCCCGATCCCTGGCGAAGACATGGTGAGACCCTGCCCTGGGCACCTGCAGCCCATGGAGAGGGCACTACAGGATTCCCCAAAGCCCCACACTGTCCCCTCTGTCCTCAGAGCTAAGAGAGAATGCGGAGATGAAACAACAGGGAGTGTGCTCACAAGGAAGAAAAGCCAGGTGCAAACACAAGCGCCAATTCCTCCAGCTTTTGCTGGGTGCCCACGGCTCGATGTGGGTGCGTGAGGACCACAGCGGGCAGAGCAAACACTGTGGGCTGAGGGTGGGCACCCGTGGTCCTTGAAGGAAAGGGAGAGTGGCCTGAAGGCAGGCAGACACCAGCAGGGCGGCCTCCCTGGTCACAAAGGGGTCAGGGCCACTGTCCAGATGGCAGAACTTCGAGCCAAAGAGGATTGGAGTCGTAAGATCCAATGGAATCTGCCCGACTGGGCTTCAGACTGGCTGGGGACCAAGCACCCCTCCTTCTGTCTGGTTTCTCCCTTTGAACAGGGGTGTCCGTCCTATGCCTGTCCCACCGCTGCACTGGAATCCCATGACCCGTCGGGTTTCACAGGCTCACTGTGGAGAGGACCCTGCCAGGAGGACTCTCCCCGATGCCTGGTGGAGATGGGACCTCGGACTGCAGAGATGATGCTGGAAGGGACGGATTTGTTGGGGCCACTGGGATGATTAGCATGTGAGAAGGGCATGGATTTGGGGGCCAGGTGGCAGCGCTATGGGCTGAATTGTATCCTCTGAAAGTCCCACCCCCATCACCTCAGAAAGCAACTGTTTGGAGATGGTCTTTGAAGAGGGGAGAAGGTTAAATGAGGTCACGGGTGGTTCCTAATCCGTAGGACAGGCGTCCCCAGAAGAAGGGAGGAGGACACAGACGTGGAGAGGGGTGGCCGTGTGAGGACGCAGGGAGGAGAGGACTCAGGAGGAGCCAGCCCTGCAAATCCCTGACCTGGGCCTTACCCTCCAGGACGGGGAGGGACTGAGGTGCTGGTTAAGCCGCCCCTCGGTGGTATCTGCTATGGCAGCTGGAGGAATCGAAGACAGATTTGCACTCTCAGGGGTAGCCGCCCACGGGAGCATCGGACATCATCAACGCAGGCCTGACTGCGAGATGCCGGAGGAAGCGGCACAACACGCAGCTGCTGGCGTGCACCGAGCTGAGCAGACTGCGGGAAGAGCCGCCGGCCAGGCCAGCGCAGCAGCCGCGGGTCACCCCAGCCCGGGCCCGGGCCTGTCCAGCGCTCACCTGTGTTCCCAGACGTCGGCTCGATGATGGTGTCCCCGGGCTTCAGGATGCCGGCGCGCTCGGCCTCCTCCACCATGCGCTGGCTGATGCGGTCCTTCACGCTCCCGCCCGCGTTGAAGAACTCACACTTGGCCACTGGGAGCCGGAGACAACCATGAGACCGGAAGGCCCCGGATCCCTATCTGTCCCCTCCCCACTACCTGATCCAGCTTGATGCAGGGCGAGGCCTGGTCTTCGCTGGTTCTATACATCGGCCCCCTCTCCCCTCCACCCACCACCCCAGCTGGCGGGGCCATGCAGAGGACCACGTGGCACCTCCGAGGGAATGAGACAGAGGCGCCTGCAGGAGCCCCACTGGGCGGATGGGTCAGACCCCTCCCGCAGTCCCAACAGGAGCTTGCTGGGCAGACAGCGGTCTTGAGCCCCATGCGCCCGCAAGGCCCAGCCACACCCAGCGGCCCCTGCCAGACAACTTGGTGCCCCGAAGCCACGGTGCCCGGATCACACCCCAGACCAGGCCCCCAAACCCTCCACCCCCGCCTCCCACGCCCAGGCGCTTCTACCCTCTGCCGCGCTCCCTGCCCAGCAAACACGCTGCCCTTTCCTGGGCCGAGGCCTCTGCTCTGCTCTTTCCTTAGGACGACTCCCGCCCGCCTCCTAAGAGTTTGCAGTGTTTGCAGGAGGAAGGTGCTGCCCCGAAAGGGATCTGAAGACTCTGAAGACCTGGGCCAGCCTACGACACCCACAGCCCCCCAGCCCCCAGCCCCCGCGGGGCGAGCGCAGGAGGGGGAAGCAGGTACTCACGCAGCTCACACTTCAGGCCAAAGTTCTTCCCGATCTTATTGATTCTCACCATGGGGGTATCTCCAATTTTCTTCAGGATATTTGGCAAGATTTTGGGCGACTTTGCCCTAAAACAGAAGAGCCCATGATTATTCAGAAAAACAAAAGGATACCAGCCGTGGCAGGACAGCACATCGAAGAACTGCCCTGGCCGGTGGCTCAACTGGTTGGAGTGTCGTCTCATATATCAAAAGGCTGCCGATTGGGCCAGGCCGGTGGGGTGTGGCGCAGTGGCTGACCATCACACTATGAGCCAGGAGGTCATGGTTCGATTCCCAGTCAGGGCACATGCCTGGGATGTGGGCTCGACCCCCCAGTGAGGGGCGTGCAAGGGGCAGCCGATCAATGATTCTCTCTCACTGATGTTTCTCTCTCTCTCCCCCCCTCTCCCTTCCTCTCTGAAGCAATCTTAAAAATATACATATGTTTTAAAAAGGTTGTGGGTTCAATCCCCAGGGGCCCTGAGACAGGTAAAACATGCTGCCTTCCACCCGGGGGTCCAACCACGCAGCCACGCAGGCATCCAGCTGCCCCCTCCACTGTGGAAGGGGCTGAAGGGACAGCCAGGCCAGAGGCAGGCGTCAGGGTGAGGGGAGAGCCAGGCTGGGGCCAAGGGCTCCTGACCCCACTTTGGAGGCCAGGTTCCTGGGGCCACGCCGGGGTTGGTTCATTAACTAGTTAAAGCCAAGGCCGGACAGAGGTAAACACCTGCACCGTCACGTGACCGTGGCGAAGGTCACACCAGCCCAGCAGGCGTTGTGGTGGCCAGAGCGGGCTGAGGCCCACCCACCGCTAGGCAGGGGGTGGGCAGGCAGAGAACCCGGGTTCCTGCCTCTGTCACCTGAGAATCTTGCCTGCGGTCATCAGGGCAGGCGGGGCGGGGGGGGGGGGGGGGGGGGCATTTACCGGAGGTGGCCCTGGGGTCACCTTCTCTCAATGGCTTCCACTGTGACAGCCCCAGAGGCCTCCAGGACAACCCCACGGGTGCTTAGAATAACCCCACACTCCTTACCAGAGCCAGGGACCTGCCTGCCCCACCCCCTGAGGCCCCTCCACTCACTTGGCTGCTTCCACTCCAGCCCTCGTTGTAAGCCCACCCCACCTCGGAACCGCCTGGAACCCCCTTTCCCAGATACCCACACTTCCAGCACCTTCTGCCTATGCAGGTACCAGCCCCAAGGCCTTCCCCTAGCCAGGTCACCTCTGCCTCCCAATCAGGAACCCCAAGGGCCGTTTCCTCTGGGGGGACCTTGGTCTGGTGTCCCCCCTAGCAGGTAAGCTCCTGCCTGACCTGGGCCCGAGCCCAGCTCCCTTATAACCGGGTACCTGACCTAGGACAGGGGTGTAGGGCTCAGCTTCCAGATGGGATTAGCCCATCAGGGCTTTGCAGGACGGGTGTCTAGGCCAGGGTGGGAGGGGCAGGTGTCACGCTGTCTCACAACCTGGAGAGAAGAGTGTCCTTTCCGCCCCAGGATCCAGGCTGAGGTCACCCACCCTCCTCGGAAACCTGGTCTCTTCCCTGCCCGCCCCCAGCAGCCACACCCCAGCCGTCACTCACTGCTTCATTTGTTTTGGCACCGAGGGCTCATCCTGTTTGGCCAGGGGCCCGTTTGGCCTCCTAAGCACCCAGCACTGAGGTCTGTTTAGTGCTTGAGCCTCTGGGTTTGTAAATTTCCATTCCTATTTATTGGCCCCACAGAGGAGTACACCCCTTTCTCCACCCCCAGTTCTGATCTTAAAATCAATAACCGTGAATGTTGGTATAGCAGGTTATACAGAATAAGAATCAAATAGCTAAAGCCCAGCTGGCAGGGCTCAGGACTGGGTGTCAACCTATGAACCAGGAGGTCAGGGTTCGATGGTCGGGTTGTGGGCTCAATCCCCATTGTAGGGCGTGCCAGAGACAGCTGATCAATGATTCTCTCTCATCATTGATGTTTCTCTCTCTCCCTTTCCCTCTTCTCTGAAATCAATAAAAATATATTTTAAAAAAAAAGAAGAATCAAACATCTGAAAAAATAGTCTTTGACTCTGAAAGATTATACTATGGAAATAAAGATAACCCTAAAACTCAGTGAGCTCAATTTAAGTTTCCCAATGGGTCGGGGGGGTTGTCTTTTTTTCCCTTGGCCGGATAGATCAGGGCACCTAGAACAGGGTACAACATACAGTAGGTGCTTAATAAAGATGGACTGACTACATGAATGTATATGGTTTCTATTGCAGTTGTTCGGAACGAGATAACGGCTACATCTAAATCCCGTTGGAGGGCTTAAAAATTGTGGTTTATTCATCCAACAGTCTCTGTCCAACCTCAAAAAGAGGTCTCTATTGAAAAACAGTCATGGCCAGGAAGAATGTGTACGGCTTAGAGTTAAGAAGAGAGGTGCCGGTGTGAACCTAACTGCTGAAAACATGCACTCGCCTCAAACCCGTGTGTGCAGCCCTCGGCCCTGCGTTAGAAGCCTCACCGCTCCCCGTCACCCAGAGTGTGTGGCATGGGCACTTCCATCTATGGTTTCAGCATCTGCTCTTGTTGGGCACTGACCCAGGTGCTGGCTGCAGTGCAAACCAGCCCTGGCCTCTCTGAGCCTTGGTGGACTGATCTACACAGCACCCCCATCCAGCAGCTCACCACCCGTCACAGTGACTGCAAGGGGGATGGGTCACACCCCAAGTGCACATGGCTCCTCCCCTCCGGGTGGGAACAGGGACTTACAAGGCCGTGTGGTGATGGGGAGAGTCGGTGATGGGCCTGCCCAGCTTCCAGGAGCACCTGCTCGGGGCATCAGGCCGGATCCACAGGTGATCCTTGGTGTCCTTGTCCCCTGCGGGCCCCTGCTCCAGGCTCCTTTTGGCTGAGTGTGTCCCGGAGAGGTGGGGGCACCCTGCCACCCCCTCTTTTGTTTGGAATGTCTCAGAAGACATGCTTCGCTCTATCAGAGGAACGGGAAAGAGAAGTCATTGGTTCAGGCCGTTCCCAAACGCTGCAGAAGAGCCTGCTCTGATGCGGCTGGGCCCAGGGGCTGCTGCTCGCCCTCCCGCCAGCCCGCCCGCCCTCTCTGGGTGCAGGGCTCCACACATTCAGGGGCTCGGCAAGAACAGGCATAAAAGCACAGGCACCAAGTGCTCGGACAAGTATGGTGGTTTCTCTAAAGGTTAAGTAGCCTGGCCGGCATGGCTGGTGGCTGAGAGTCGGCCTGTGTATGAACCAGGAGGTCACGGTTCAATTCCCAGTCAGGGCACAGGCCCGGGTTTGCAGGCTCCATCCCCCGAGTGGGTGTGCAGGAGGCAGCCAATCAATGATTCTCTCTCATCACTGATGTTTCTCTCTCTCTCTCTCCCTTCCTCTCTGAAATCAGTAAACAAACAAACAAACAAAGTTAACTACCCCACAATTCTACTCCTAGGCATCTATCCAAAAACATGGAAACAGATATTTGCACACCACATTCATAACAGCACTATTCACAACAGCCAAAATTCGCAAAGCAAGGGCCGTCTATGAATGAATGGCTGTACAATGTGTGGTATATTCACGCGATGCAGTATTCTGTGGCCAAGCCCTGGCTGATAACTGGAACAGAGCCTTCCTTCCCTCTGTCCTGCACCCGGCCCCTGGGGAGGTGATTCTCCCATTTTGCCGGAGGCTCCCCACCTCACAGCCTGCAGCACCCTGGCCACAATCCTACGGAGACCGGCCCAGCCTACACAGGCACCTCCTTCTTGGCAACCGGCCTCACCCTGGAGCAACCTCCAGCAAGGTAAGGGGCTGATGGGAAATGGATTGAAATCAATCTGGTCCGCAGAACCCAAAGGCACTCTGCTTGGCAACATGGGTCTGAACCCGCAGGCTCTGCCCTGCATTGCAGGACTGAGCTTCCGGGGCTGCTGCGGACCAGGGGGGACGCACGTGCGTGGTGGGGAGGCGGGCTCACTCCTCTCTCACCTGAAACCGCAGACCCTTCGGGGTCACCGTTAGGTCTGATCGAATAATGGAATGGATACCCCTCCCCCCCAACTGGCTTTTCAGGCCATTTCACTATGGACATTCCCTTTGCTGCGACCACATTCTGGGTCTGCACAGAGAACTGTCCGCCCAGAAAAAGCCCGCCAAAAGTCCTTTAAAAGCCGCTGACTCCCATCCAGGCCCGGCCACCTGGTGTGCGGATGATGGGATAACTTCGCCATCCCGCACCACTCCGGCCTCCCGCGTTCCTCCTTCGGGGACCTGACAGTCCGGGTGCACCCAAGGGCGTCCGCACTCGCGCACCCGTCAGCCCCCCGGGGCGCGTTAGGGCCGAGGGCGCAGATGGTAGCAAACTCGTCTTTTACGGCGAGAATGTCCAGGTGGGAGACCGCGACCCCTCAGCAGATCTGGACACCGCGGGTCACCGGACTCCGGGGGGAGGGGGGGGCTCTTGGGGACACAGTTTGGGATAAATACGCCCACTACTCCTGAGCTAAAGTTTTGCGTTCCCGCCCCGCCCCCACCTGACGCCGCGCAGCTACACCGACATTCACCCCCAGCCCCTGCCCCTAAGGAGCAATTTCCCACCCGAAATGACGCGAAAAACCAATGATGAACGACGGGCCTATTACAGCTCATCTCCCCAAAATGCACCCCCCACACCGGGTCCCCGCGGGGCGCTCCCAGGCTCGCGGCCCCGCGCCCTCTGCAGTCGGAGTTGAGGTCCGGGCCGGGGCCACGTGGGCACCGAACCCCGGCTTCAGGGCGGTCCCGGGGGCCGGGGAGGGGTCGCCGGCTCAGCTCCGCCGCGAGCGGCTGCAGATGATGCAACTCCGGCGGGGGTGGGGACCTGGGACCCCGGGCTGGGCCGGGCTGGGCCGAGCCGAGCTCACCTGGACCGAGCGCGGGGAGGAGGCGAGTGGGGAGCGTCCGATCGCGGGGAGCGGCGGCGAGACCAGCGGGGCCTGGAAGACGCGACCCTCAGCGCGGGCGGCACTCTGACCCCGCGGCCGAGCGTGGCTGGAGGACGATTGGCCGAAGGCGGGGGCGAGGCCCAGCGCCCGACCAATCCGAGTGCGGAGCGCCCGCCCGCCGCCCCGCCCCCGCCCGCCCTCGCCCTCGGGAGGGGGGTGGGGGAGGGGGATGGGCAGGGCCGCTCCTCTCCTCCCGCCCCCTTGGCGGCCCCGCGGGCTGGGGGTCCCACCCTACGCCCGACCCAGGACCCGCTCGCCCCACCCCCTCCCGCTGTTCAGCCGCGGGCGGACCCCGCCTCCCCGCTGCCCCGCCCCATCGCCCACTCCCCGGGGCGCAACTGCGGACTCGGACCCCCAGCTCCGGCCCCGGCCCTTCCCTGAACCGCGGCCTCCGGGCTCGGCGGGCGCTCACTCCCCGAGGTCCCGACGCGTTTGCTGGGGTCACTGCTCGCCTGGCGGCGTAAGAAACGGCGTGGATGCCGTTAAGCGTGGGGTCCGGTGCGCGCCAGGCCTTGGAGGGCCTGAGGCTGAGCCTCAGCAAACGTCCCGCCCTGGGCCCACGCCGGCCCTGGTCCCACGGCCCGGGGACCGCCTCGCTGGGGGCCTGGGGGCCTGCAGGGCCGAACGCCGAGGCTGCCCCGCGCGCACCGGGGGCGCCGGGCGCCTGGGATCTGGATGCACTGGCGGGCGGGTTGTCAGGACTGATTCTCGCCCCTCCTTGTCCCGGGTTCAGACACGCAGGCTTCCCTCCAGCCGGGGGCTCTCCCACTGATCAGGGCAGAGGTCACGCAGGCGGTCCCCAGCAATGGACACTGGGGCTGCCGGCCCCTGGGAGGCCACGCCTAACAATATTGCAAATATGTGTGCTCTGGGGTCCCCAGGACTGAAAAGAGAACCCCTCACCCCGACTTTCTCAGCACCTGACCAGCCAAGGGCAGTACTGCCAGGTTCGGACACACTGAGCCACCATTATTTAGCAAGTCCCTGCCACCTGCCCACTCTGTGTATGAAGACGTTATTGTTGTTGTTGTTTTCAATGCTCAACCGCTAAGCCTCGCAGGTGCGGCCCAAGGTGAATAGTTTTGAAGACATTGCCGTTTTTAGTGCCCAGGCCAGATGTTGGCCTGATGTTTCCTCTGATTAGTCTCAGGGGGGTGCGCTTTTGTTGATGCGCGTGGGAGCCATGCGAGTGAGTGTCTGTGACCTGTCAGGGGCACATGCCATCTGTGTGTCCTCCTCTGGCACTGGTCACTTCGAACATTTGCTTTCTCCACCGTAAAGTTTCTATATTTACCCTTTGTAATGAACAAGTATCTTGTGGGGAGATGCCTTGAAACTATGGAAATACCCTTCTCAGATCTCCCTCTCCAGTGTTAGCTTCCGTTGATGATCTGTGTGGGCCTGAATCAATTTCCGTTAAATTGGTGGCCAAAGGGTGATTTTCCTAATCTCATCATTCCTTCTACATTTTATTATTTGGCATTCCACTAGATTTTTTCTTCTCCCCCACTCATTTATCTAATCGTGTATCTATACCAGTGAGGATCCAAGATCCTTTTATTTTAAAAGCATACATTTTACCATTGAAAGTGCACAATCCACCCAGCCAGTGTTGCTCAGTGGTTGAGCATCGACCCATGAACTGAAAGGTCACCAGTTTAATTCCTGGTCAGGGCACATGCCCAGGGTTTGCCTCAATCCCCAATAGGGGGCATGCAAGAGGCAGCCAATTAATGTTTCTATCTCTTTATCCTTCTTCCTTCCTCTCTCTAAAATAAATATATTTTGGGGAAAAAAGAATGCACAATCTAATGGTTTTTAGTATACAAACAATATTTAGTACTTGGAATTGTGCAGTCATCAGAATGTACATGAACATTTCTGTCCCTCGAAAAAGAAACCCTGCTTCCATTAGCAGTCCCTGACCATCCCCCTGCAGCGGTGGGCAAACCACTCCTTTACCTTATTTACGTCAGTCAGGTGGATTCATGGAGTCTTGCCTGTAGAGAGCGCTGGGAAGGCACATGGGCATTTCTTTCATTATTGTCAGCTCAATCCGGTGGCTTTGGCAGAGCCACATCCTGGAAACACGCCTTGCCAGAGGCAGGAGTGTTGTCAGCTTGACCTTCAGCCCAGGTGCCAGGGCATGGGTTTTGTTATTTAAATCCAGTCAAGCACCAGGAGTGAATAAGACTCAGGCCCACCCCAGAATGCACATAATCTCCTTTGTCTTGACCTTTAGTAAAACTTCCTGGGTTTTGCTGTATAAAATAAACACGCTGTATTGGCTCTGGGTCTCTGTCTCTCCATCAGAGGACAGTGGTCCCACCCAGCCCCAGCTTTTTCCTTCCATCTCTGTGTCTGTCTCTTTCTTTCATTTTCTCAATCCCCAGCTGCCCCTACTCAGGAATCGGACTGCTCTCTAGCTGCACTGGACGTGGAAAAGAGAGAAATATTTATACTTGCCTTATGAAATAGGTCATCATCTTCTACTACCATTATTTTGATGCTAAAATGGCCCTAGGCCAAGACTCAAGCTGGATCCTGTGTCTTTTTGTCACTTCCCCAACATTCTTTGAGCACCTCCTATTAGGGGCACAACAGGTGTTTCTGGCTCATTTCCCTACTAGGGACTTGGGAGCAGGCATTCTACAACAGGTTCCTGTAATGGGCTAACCTGTGTCCTCCCCAAATTCTTATGTTGAGGTCCCAGCCCCCCTATTGAAGAATGTAACTGTGCTTGTAGATAAAGGTCTTTAAAGGGGAGACTGGGGATAAATCAAGATGGCAGCATAGGTAAACACCGGAAATTGCTGCCTCATACAACCACTTCAAAAATACAACTAAAAGACAAAAACGGAAGGCTGAACCACAGGAAGGCTGGCTGAGTGGAAATTCTACAACTAGAAGGAAAGAGAAAAGCACACTGAGACTCAGAGGAGGTGCGGTGTGGAAGTAAAGTGCAGAGGTATGGAGGCGCATGCAGAAAGGGCTGGCAGCTGAGGACACGGTTGTTTTTTTCAATCGGGAGGGAGTCTCAAGCTCCTGACTGCTCTGAACTCCAGTTCAGGGAGAGTGTCTGGGGACCCAGACTCATACAGGAGAAACTGGACTGTCTGGCATTGGTCAGAACTTGAGGGCGGCTTTTTCTCAGAGGTACTTGCAGCAATTACTGGGACACTGAGAAGCAGGGCCTCTTAGGGTAGGACTGGGGAGCAGCCATAGCTGCTTGCTCCGCCCTGTTGATCCCCTGAGACCCCACCCCACCCAAGCTGTGTGCAGATGCTTTTGCATATGAAAGGCCTGGCCCTTTGCAATCTGAAAATTACCTAACAAACTGCAGCTGGGTCAGAGAAACCCAGAACTTCCAAAAGAAGGTCCAAGGCCTCACAGCAGCTTGCATTGCTTCACAGCTGGGCTCCTGCTGGGTAGCCTCAGGCAGAGGCTAAATTAGCACCTCCTTAGAGATCCAAGAGCCAGTGTACCCAGTGGTCAGAGTGGGACCATCCAGATTACAACTCCTCAGATCCATAAGGGACACACTCAGGGGACAGACTCAGTGAGCACCAAAGCCCCACTGAAGCAAGTCTTGCCCCAGAAGGGTGTCTTCAGCACAGAAGTTCTCCCACTGCAGACACAGCTGATTCTCACAGCCAATTGGCCTGGAGGTCAATTCCTCCCAGTGATACCTACAATAATCAAGGCTTAACTACACCAAGACTGTGAACAAAGCCCACAAAGGGGTGCACCAAGAGTGTCCACCTCAGGTAATTGGGGAGGCTGAGCCACTGGGCCCTATAGGACACCTAATACAGAAAGCCACTCTATCAACACAGGGAAGCATAAAAAATGCGGAGACAAAGAAACAAGACATAAATGACAGAAATGGAGGAAAGCAAACAACTGGATATAGAGTTCAAAACCACACTTTTAAGGTTTTTCAAGAATTCTCTAGAAACTGCCGATAAACTTAATGAGACCCTCAAGAAATCTAGTGAGACCCTCGAGGTTATGAAAAAGGACCAACTAGAAATTAAGCATACACTGACTAAAATAAAAAATATTGGGGATAGGGGAGGCTAGGGGACTGTCTAGGGCGGGGGGATAAAATGGACACATATGTAATACCCTTTGTAATACTTTAAGCAATAAATTAAAAAAAAATATTATACAGAGTTCCAACAGCAGACTAGAAGATCGCAAGAATCAAGTCAAAGATTTGAAATACTAAGAAGCAAAAAACACCCAACTGGAAAAACAAAAAGAAAAAAGAATCCAAAAATATGAAGATAGTGCAAGGAGCCTCTGGGACAACTTCAAGCATACCAACATCCGAATTATGGGGGTGCCTGAAGAAGAGAGAAAGCAAGATATTGAAAACGTATTTGAAGTAATAATGGCAGAAAACTTCCCATACCTGGTAAAAGAAATAGACTTACAAGTACAGGAAGCACAGAGAACCCCAAACAAAAGGAATCCAAAGAGGACTACACCAAGACTCATCATAATTAAAATGCCAAGAGCAAAAGACAGAGAGAGAATCTTAAAAGCAGCAAGAGAAAGACAGTCAGTTACCTACAAGGGAGTACCCTATGACTGTCAGCTGTTTTCTCAACAGAAACTATGCGGGCCAGAAGGGAGTGGCAAGAAATATTCAAAGTGATGAATGCAAAGAACCTACAACCAAGATTACTTTATCCAGCAAAGCTATCATTCAGAAGTGAAGGTCAGATAAAAAGCTTCATAGATAAGAAAAAGCTAAAGGAGTTCATCACCACCAAACCAGTACTATATGAAATGCTGAAAGGTATCCTTAAGAAGAGGAAGAAGAAGAAAAGGTAAAGATACAAATTATGAGCAACAAATACACATCTATCAACAAGCGAATCTAAAAATCAAGTGAATAAATAATCTGATGAACAGAATAAACTGGTGAATGTAATAGAATCAGGGGCATAGAAAGGGAGTGGACTGACTATTCTCGGGGGATAAAAGGGTGTGGGAGGTGTGGGGGTGCGGGAAGAGACTGAACAAAAATCATACACCTATGAATGAGGACTGTGGGGGGGGGTAAGGGCAGAGGTTGGGTGGGAACCGGGCAGAGGGGAGCTATGGGGGGGAAAAAGAGGAACAACTGTAATAATCTGAACAATAAAGATTTAATTACAAAAATAAATAAAGGGGAGACTTAGTGAATATGAGGCTATTAGGGTGGCCAAGACTCTATCCTGGATTAAACTGTGGTCAGGTTCCTCAGCCCCCTTTTCCACAGGCCTCCACGCACCTCCTTGTCTTGAGTCTGCCCAGCCAACTTTTAGCAAGAATGCTCCTGTTAAGTCAGTTTAAAGACACCCCCCACCCCTGCTTTGGCCTGCCTTAGGCTAGAATCAGGTTAGGTGAGTTCAGCAAGACTCTGTCCATCCTGCATGACACCACACTTACACTCTGCTCCTCAGCTGTCTTTGTTGTATTCAGAGTTGAGCGCCATCTCTCTGCCCTATTCCCATCCGTAGTCTGCAATAAGTCTTTCTTATTTTAACAAGTGTCAGAATAAGTTTTTCTGTTTTATTTTTATTTTTAAAATATTTTTATTGATTTTAGAGAGGAAGAGAGAGGGAGAGAGTGATAGAAACATCAATGATGAGAATACTTGATCGGCTGCCTCCTGCATGCCCCCTACTGGGGATCGAGCCCACAACCCAGGCATGTTTCCTCATTGGGAATTGAACCGTGACTTCCTGGTTTATGGGTTGACCCTCAATCACTGAGCCATGCTGGCCAGGCAAGTTTTTCTTTACAAAAATTTTTAAATTGATTTTTAGCGAGGGAGGAAGGGAGAGAGAAAAGGGTGAGGAGACATCAATTTGTTGTTCCACTTACGTATGCATTCATTGGTTGATTCTTGTTTGTGTCCTGACCATGAACTGAGCCTGCAACCTTGGCATATCGGGATGACGCTCTAACCAACTGAGCTACTGGCCAGGGTTCAGAGTAAGTGTTTCTTGTACATGAATGGGGCCCTGGCTTAGACACCAGACCCATATTTCTCACAGTCTGGAGGCTAGAAATCCAAGTTTAAGGTGACTGCCTGCTTCCTGGCTTGTAGACAATGGAGTGGGAGGAGGGGGTGGACAAGCTCTCTCCTGTCTCTTCTTCTAAGGGCACTAATTCATCGTGAGGGGTCCACCTCCATATACCATCATATTGTGGGTTAGGACTTAGACATATTTTTTGTGTGTGGTAGGAGTCAGGGGACACAAATATTCAGTCCATAGCAAGTTCAAACGTAATATGATTGGTCCTTATAAGAAGAGACCAGAGATGCATTTGCACCAAAGAAAGACCACGTGAGGACACCGGGGGAAAGTGGTCATCCACAAGCCCAGGAGGGAGGCCTCAGGAGGAACCAACCCTGCCCAACCTGGGTCTCCACCGTTCAGCCCCCAGACTGTGAGGAAATACGTTTCCGCTTTGGAGAAGTTGGCTGCCACTTTACCAAGTCCCCGAAGCCACCAGAAGGGTTTGCAGCTCAGGAACTGGCACGTGATCCAACAGACAATGGGGCGAGTCTGGGAGATGCGGGACTGGCTGGTGGGTCTTCTGGGTCCAGGACACTGGGAGAAAACGTCTCCTCATCCACAGGATGACAAAGTGATGGCCAGAGAAGAGCAGCCTCCGCCTCTTCCCACCCCAGGTTCAGGTCCCAGAGGCAATCCCTCAGACAAGCTCACTTTTTTAAAAAATATATTTTATTGATTTTTTTACAGAGAGGAAGGGAGAGGGATAGAGTTAGAAACATCGATGAGAGAGAAACATCGATCAGCTGCCTCCTGCACACCCTCCACTGGGGATGTGCTTGCAACCAAGGTACATGTCCTTGACCAGAATCGAACCCGGGACCCTTGAGTCCGAAGGCTGATGCTCTATCCACTGAGCCAAACCGGTTAGGGCAACAAGCTCACTTCTTATTTTCATGGTGTCCGTCTTCATAATGTAGGCAGTGTTTTGCATTTCTCTTTCCTGATTTATGACCTTTAAAACAGTATCTATGTTACACAATAAAATTAAATCCAATGTTTGTTTAAATATCTTTTTATTTGTAACAGTTTTTATTGATACAATTCACATAGCATACAATTCACACATTGGAGTGCACAATCCAGCCCTGGACAGTGTGGCTCAGCTGGTTGAGCATCATTCCATGCACCAAAAGTTCACAAGTTTGATTCCTGATCAGGGCATATGCCTGGTTTGCAAACTTGCAGGAGGCAAGCGATTGATGTTTTCCTCACATCAATGTTTCTCTCTCTCTAAAATCATTAAAAAATATTTTAAAAAAGGGTACAATTCAATTGCTTTTAGTACATTCACAAAAAGTCAATTTTAGAATGTGTTTATCACCATAGAAACTTCACGCCCCCTAGCCATCAGTACCATCAATGCTTCCACACTCCCCAGCCCCAGACCACCACTAATCCACTTCCTGTCTCTCTAGATTTGCCTGTTCTACACATCCTATATAGTAAAAGCCCAGCGACCGAATGGCGGTACAATCAGAATGACCCCACTGACGACCAGCGGGCAGCTCAACGCAGGAGCTACCCTCTGGTGGTCAGTGCGCTCCACAGTGGGAGTGCCGCTTGGCTGACCGGAATGAGCGGCTGCTCTCCACAGTGGGAGCAGCCACTCAGAGGGCGGGTCCACAGCCGCTCAGCTGACCAGGATGAGCGGTGCTCCCAAAGCAGGCCAATTCCCGCATGCTATGCCCCACCAGTGCACAAATTCCATGCACTGGGCCTCATTTTATATAAGGGAATCATATCATGCATGGTCCTTTGTGACTGGCTTCCTTCACTTGGCATGTTTTCAGGTCCATCCATGTAGTAACATATTTGCTTCTTTTTTTTTTTAATATATATATATATATATATATATATATATATATATATTTTTTTTTATTGATTTTTTACAGAGAGGAAGGGAGAGGGATAGAGAGTTAGAAACATTGATGAGAGAGAAACATTGATCAGCTGCCTCCTGCATGCCCCCTACTGGGGGTGTGCCCACAGCCAAGGTACATGCCCTTGACCGGAATCGAACCTGGGACCCTTGAGTCCACAGGCCAACGCTCTAGCCACTGAGCCAAACCGGTTAGGGCATGTTTGCTTCTTTTTATCCTACATAACAAAAGGTGAATATGCAAATAGAACGGCAGAACCAAACAACCGGTCGCTATGACATGCGCTGACCACCAGGAAGCACATGCAGAGAATGGTGGACGTCAGCCGTGGCGGAATGGTGGAGCAGGTGAGCAGGGGCACCAGACCAAGGCAGGGCACTGGTTGCTGTCATGGAGTGAGTCTCTGGTGGTTACTGAAAATTCTTTGCTCTTACGCACTGTGGTCCCACCCGGCGCTTGCACCTGCTGCTGGCACCAGAGCCACCGCTCACACCCGCAGTTGGTGCTGGAGCCGCCACTCGCACCTGCTGCTGGTGCCCAGCACCAGTCCTGATTGCTTGGCGCCATCAGCGGGTGAGAGCAAGGCTGACGCCATCAGCACATGTGAGTAGCAGCGGGAGCGGGGCTGCTGGCAGACAGAGAACTGGGGCCACATAGGGAGGGGCTGGGCAGGGGCAGGGAGGATGGACTGAGATCCGCTTCTGTGCCTACCACAGCCTCTCAGCCCACAGGTCCTTTCAAGGTGCACAAATTCGTGCACTGGGCCCCTAGTTGTCAAATAAAATGTCGCTGTGTGAAATACATTTTATTTATCCACTCATCGGTTGGTGAACATCTATGTTGTTCCCACCTTTTGGCTGTTATGGTTAACGTTGCTGTGAACGAACGCTCATGCACGTTTTTGTGTGGACATACGTTTTCCTCTCTTGGGTCCATGCCTCGGAACAGAACTGCTGGGCCACATGGTGATTGTTTGACTTGGTGAGCAGCTGCCAGACTTTCCGCAGCAGCTGCACCGTTTACATTCCCTCCCTCCAGGAATGCAGGGGAGCCCGGGCTGTCCGCAGGCTCGCCCACACTTGCTCTCACTGGTTGTTTGGCTCACAGCCACCCCGTGGGTGTGCAGTAGGACCTAATTGTGGTTTAGATTGCATTTGTGTGATGGCAAGTTCTGTTAAGTGTTTTTAATGTACTTGTCTGTCCAGTGTGTATCTTCTTTGGAGAAATGTAGATTCAGATCCTTTGCCCATTTTTAAATTGGGTGGTCTTTTTGTTGTTGAGTTGGAGGAGTCTTTTAATATATTTTTTATTGATTTTTTTTTTTTAAGAGAGAGGGAGATAGAAACATCGATGAGAGAGAAAAACATCATTGATCGGCTGCCTCCTGTATGCCCCGCACAGGGGATTGAGCCCACAACCCAGGCATGTGGCCCAACTGGAACTTGAATTGGTGGCCTCTTGGTTGGAGGAGTCCTTTATATATTCAGGACACTAGACACATCAGATTTGGATTTGAAAATATTTTCTCCCTTTTTGTGGGGTGTCCTTTCACTTTCTTGTGTCTTTGATGCAAAAAGCTTTCCATTTCGATGAACTTCCATTTATTTGTTTCTTTTGTTGCTTGTGCTTTTGAGATCAGATCTAAGAAACCATTGCCAAATCCAAGGTCATCAAGATTTACCCCAATGATTTCTTAAATAAGTCTTATTTCTTACATTTGGGCTTTTGATCCATTTTGAATCACTGCAGTGTAGACGCTGTAGGTAAGAATCCCACTTCATTCTTCTGTGTGTAGCTAGCCAGCTGTTCCAGCACCGATTGCTTGAAGACACTTTCTTTCCCCATGGACTGGTTTGGCACCCTTGTCAAAAATCAACTGACCATTGATGTAAAAACTTCTTTTTGGATCCTCAAGTCTATTCCATGAATCTACATGCCTGTCTTGTGCCAGTGACACCGTGTTTTTATTACTTTAATGTTGCACTGAGTTTTGAAATCAGGAAGTGAAGTCTTCCAACTTTTTTTAAAAAATGTATTTTTATTGATTTTAGGGAGGGAGAGGGAGAAAGCAAAACATCAATGATGAGAATCATTGATCGGCTGCCTCCTGCACACCCCCTACTGGGGATTGAGCCCGCAACTCGGGCATATGCCCTTGCCTGGAATCGAACCCGGGACCCTTCAGTCCACAGGCTGACACTCTATCCACTGAGCCAAACCAGCCAGGGCAGGTCTACTTTATTTTTCCAGCGGTTTTGTCACTTTCAGAATACAAGTTTTGTACTCAGTAACTTTTTACATCATCTGTCAACTATTCACTTTGTAAGACAGGACTATTAGGGTGGCTACTTATTCCTCTGCTGTCCTCTCCACCACCCGTACCTGCCTTCAGTTACTAATACTGTTCCCACAAACTAACCATTACTGAGCTCTCACTAGGCACGTGCCAGGCACTGTTCTGGAAGCTGTACCTGTATTAACTAGTGGAGCCTCATAACAATCAAAGGAGTGGGTGCTATTTGATCACCACTTTGCAGGGCAGGACAGAGGCACAGAGGCCAGTCTGCAGCCAGTGAAGAGCAGAGCCAGGACTTAGACCTGGGATTCGACTCCTGCCCTGCCTCTCCCACTGAGCTTCTCACCGCTCCTGCAATGGCCATCAGCCCAATCCTGGGATATGTTAGGTTGAACCATATGAAATGAACTTTTGTGACCCACAAAAAAAAATGGTAAATTCATGTGACCCAACTTGTTAAAAAAAAAAAAAAAAAAAGACCTGAGATGTGAAGCAGGTGCCTGAATATTTGTCGCCAGATTCAGATGGGGTTTTCTCAGGTTCTGCTGTCAGGTTTGAACATCTCCCCAAGGACACACCGGCTGTGGGGGAGCCAAGTGCACCTGGATGGTGTGGCATCTTCTGAGCAAGAGACTGCAGTCTGTCCTGAGATGGGGGCCGGGGGGTGGGGATGAAGCTCTTGTGCTCCCTCTAATAATAAGTCCTATGAGGGAGAAAGGGAAGGTCCCCTCCCTAAGAGCCATGCTACCCCATCTCCCCGTCATCCAGTCAGACAAAACCCACCAGGCGCAGGCACCGAGCGAGTGACCTCACACACTGCTGACAGATCTCTGGGCAGGGACCTCTCCCGATGGCTACGTGGACGTCAGTGGCTGTTTTTCAGGCCTGTCCTGCCACTCCTGCCACAGGTGCACAGGAAGGCAGCCACCTGGTTGGCCGCAGGAGGGGGAACAAGGCCTTGGGCTGTAGACAGGGACCGTGTTCTGTCTCAGAAGCTCGACCTAGAAGTTGTGTTTTCCCAAGCCCAGCAGTTTAGACGGCTGGTTCTGTTCTCATTTGGTCTGCCCAGCTGCTGGGGAGCTCCCTGGCCAGGGAGACTGAGCCCTTGGGTTAATTACTGCAGGGTTCTCAGCTGTTCAAAACCTTCTCGGGTGGAAGCCAGAAGTCATGGAACCAGGAGCCAGAGGAGCAGTGGGTGAGGGGACAGCCTTGACAAGGGTTGGTGCCCTCCCAGCCCACCCTGGCTTCATCCAGTGGGCTGAGAGGACCCCAGGGAACACAGGTGGGGAGGGGCCTTCCGTTCAGTCCAAGAGGAAGCAACACCTACCCAGAGGCGCTCACCCCTCCTCGCCAGGTGTGCAGTGTCTGCTGGGCAGGTGATGAGGCTCCGACACTAACCTGCCCCTATGTCCTGGCTGCAGGACCCTGGTTTGTTCACAAGGTGCCCCACTCTGGGGACTTGCTCTCTTCTCTCCCCTCCCGTCTGATACAAGGGGGCCATCCTGGGGGCCGTGCTGCTCTGCAGACCTAGGCTGTCCTTCAGATGGGTTGTCCCAAGGTCAAACCATGAATGGAGATGACATTACAAATTGGTTGGACCTTAAAATCCAAATTCATGCTCTCCAATCAGCTTTATCGATAATAAAGTTTACAAAGGGAAAAAAATCCATGGAGGTTAACGCCTTTGGGGGCAGCCTTGAGCCCTCTCTCCTGAAACAAGCCCCAGAAAGCTCTGTCCACACGGGCAAGATGAATAAGTTGGACCAGGTTATGTTCAAGGACACATTCATCCAACCCACCACTGAGAGGGGGCAAGCCACAGACTGGGATAAATACACATCAACAGAAGACTCCTCTCCAGACTATGTACAGAACTCCTAGAAATAAGAAAAAGACAACCCACTCACTCAATGAGGGGAAGAAAAATGGGCAAAGACTTGAAGAGGGCTTCATCGACATACAAATGGCCAGTAGAACAAGGTGCCCAACCTCATTGTTCATCTAAAACCCAAGTGACCAGCCTCCTACTCTAGGACTGAAAAGGCAAAACTGAAACCTGAGTCTTTCTGATCAGAGGCTCCGTCCCAGGAGGGCTGCCCCACTGGGCGCCCCCAGGGAATGAGCTGCCCGGGTGGCAGGTGGCATCTCCACAGCACACCCTCACCCTGTCCCAGCCTATCCCGAGCTTTGCAAGCCCAAGCTCTCTGGCCGTGGACTTTGCCTCCAGTTCCCTCCGCCATCCAGGAGGGCCCTCTTCCTTCTTTCTCCTGTTTTCCTCGTCAGTTATGCCGGCACCACGCATTAACTATTCTATTCTTCTCTAACCACACTGCTGTCACTCAAGCTGCAAACTGCAAGTTAGCTGTGTCCAACATACTGAATGTCACGAACAAGCTGAGCAAAAGAAAGACAAAATAATATAAATCCATCTACATAGAAGTTCAAACACAGCCAAGACTGTTCAGTGAAGTCTATGTAGCTCTTAATAAAATAAAAATGAAACCAAATTACAAATGCTGACTGGTATCCTGCAGCAAAGGGCTTCCTGGCCGGAGGGCCGGTCTGGGTTCTGGCAGTACTCACCAGGATGTTTGCCTCTGAACTCTTCCTTAAACCAGACTTAAGTGTCAAGTACGGCTGACCCATGAAGGTGGCTGCTGTGTGGGCCTTTGTTCGCTCCAATGAATACTGTATTTACTTTTATGACCTAATGCCTCTGTAGGCCACACTTCTCACATGCATCTCAACTATTCTAAAACTGAACTCATCTCTTGCAATTTTCACCTAGCACCCCCAGTCCCTCTCCCCTTTGGCAACCACCAGTTTGTCCTATGTAGTTTGTTTATTCATGTTTTGTTTTTAGATTCCACAATATTCCATTGTATATATGTACCGCATCTGCTTTATCCATTCATCTATACACACCTAGGTTATTTCCATTTCCTGGCTATTGTAAATAATGTGGCAATGAACTTGGGGTGCACACATCTTTTCAAGTTAGTGTTTTCGTTTTCTTTGGACAGTCATACATGAGTTATTGCTGCATCATATGGTCTTTATATTTTTAAAATTTTCAAGGAATCTAGTTTTACAATTCCACGAGAGTTCTATTTTCTCCACATTGCCATCACATCATTTTTTGGTGCTAGCCATTCTGACCAGTGTGAAGGGGACACCTTGTGAAGACACTTCTAATAACAGTCAATACATCTTTGTGATTGCTGAAACTACTTCACTGCATTTCATGCTGCCTGCACTGGGACAGCGTGATCAACTGACCTGCTGGTTTCTATTTCTCAAAAGGCCATGTGGATTAGCCCAATCCCCTGAGGCCTTTCCTTCCTTTGTTCCCTGTCTGCTGCAAGGCCCTCTGCCTGTGGGGGGTTGGCAGGGGAGCTCAACCTCCACGGCCCAGTTCATCTGGCCACTTCCAAAGACTTCAGATCTGAGCCCACATCCTGGATGGATCCCAGCCTTCTTCCCAAGTTGCTTGTCCAGACCTAAGAATTCACAGTGGGCCTGGTCTTCTGAACACCTCTCCTACGTAAGCGTCCACATCTCAAGGGGAGAGGCCTTGCTTATTTTTGTCCTGAAATGCCAGCTGGACTCTGCAAAGTGCTGACGAGGCATTCACCCATCTTGCTCACTTGGGGCACGCAGAAAAGCAGGTCTGCACTGCAGGCTTCTGAGTCCACGTGAATCCAGTCGTTTAACAACATAGCAGTCAGTTGTGACATGACAGGTGACCCCTCACTAGCTCCTGGGCTGCACAAGCACGTTCCTGTTTTATGCACACCCATGTTTGAGGAGTGCACGGTGGCTCTCAAAGCAACACTAGACAATTCAATGGAGAGAAATAACGCTGACTGCACTGCGTCCCAAGATTAGCTTCCCTACCAACGCCAGTGGACTCTACAGAGAATGACGTCTAAACATTTACTTACTAAGTAGTAAGTAAAGGGGCCTCACAGGCTTTCCTCACCTCTACTCAGCCTCGGAAGAGAAATTCTGGGCTACTGGTTAATATGTACATAACTAGAAACAGATCTGGCCTTTTCCCATGTGAATTTTACTTCAACTGGTGTTTTGTTTTAGAACCTAAATTTAAAATAGGGTTTCAACTCTGGCTCCAAGTGTGGCTCAGTTGGTTGAGCGTCATCCTATGTACCAAAAGGTCGCCAGTTTGATGTCAGGTCAGAGCACATGCCCAGATTGTGGGTTCAATACCCCATCAAGTGGGTATAGGAAGCAACTCACATCAGGTATCTCTTTTGTTCCCTCTCCCTTCCTCTCTCTAAAATCAATAAACAGCCCAGCTGGTGTAGCTCAATGGTGTAGCCAGGAGGTCACGGTCAGATTCCTGGTCAGGGCACATGCCTGGGTTGCAGGCTTGATACCCAGTAGGAGGTGTGCAGATGGCTGATCAATGATTCTCTCTCTTTGATATTTCTATTCCTCTCTGAAATCAATAAAAACATTAAAAAAAAGAAAAAGTATGGTTTCATTTCTACCCAAAGTGATTGATGTAGATTAATCTTCACTTCAAGGGCTGATGATGTGCAGGTCTGTAAAGGAAGAGAGATTTAAAGTGGAGTTTCCACAAGAAAAAAGTTACAAGAATACTGTATCACTACAAATTTTATTCAGAAACCCATCTTTGTTTTTTTAAATTGTTTTTTAAAAAAATTCCCATTATGAACTGGTTTGGTCAATCAACTACAACACTTTCTAGCAGACATACGGTAAAAATGGCCTGGCTCAGAATCGCCCAGATCTCTCACGATCTCTTGACCGCCTCCTGTCACGCTCCCGTCCCCCACCGCCTCCGCCACCACCTCCGCCACCGCCACGACCACGGTCTCTAGACCGAGAGCGACGCTCCCGGGACCGGGACCTTGATCGATGCCTGAAACAAAGGAAAAGAAACAAAACCTTGGCATCAAAATGAAAACATGCAACATAAAACCACAGCAACTAACACTTTCAAGTACTGTATCCCACAGAATCGAAGATGTTAATAAAAAAAGAAAAATGCTGTCAATTTAACTGCAAGCTGCAACTATAATATGAGCCCTAATTTCAGATAATAATGTGTCTGGGGGGAAAAGGGCATCTCAGAATTGAGAGGTACGGTGGCCATCAAGCTGATTTCTGGATGGGGAAGGCAGGGTTCTTTCTCTTCTGTTTGTTTTTGTTGATAATAGGACAGAATCACAATGTCAGCATTTCCTATCGTATGTTAGGTGAAAATCCCTCTGGGGTCAGAACTCAATCTTCATAGGAAAAGTGACCATTATACCCTCTGACATCAGGGTTCTCTGTTTTATGACATGACCGCTTGCATTTAAATACCAGGACCAGACAGATATGACTGCTAGATTCTGCCAGTGGTCCACAGGGGAATGCCAAGAAACCTACCAAACCCACCAAAACCAAGGCATCCCAATGGAGACATGCAGTATGTGAAGGAAGTGATGACTTTCGACGAAAGAATAGAACACTGCACACGGGAACTCATTTTCATCAATCCCACTAGCCATTTCCTTGGTTAGCTGCTGAGGTTCGATCTCTCCTTAAGCAATAAAATATGCCCACAGAATATTCTTCAAAGAGCACATTTTAATATAGAGTACATTTTTGTAATTTAAAATATGTACTACATGCCCGGCTGGTGTGGTTCAGTGGTTGAGCAACAACCTATGAACCAGAAGATCACAGTTCGATTCCCAGTCAGGGTATATGCCTGGGTTGCGGGCTCGATCACCAGTGTGGGGCGTGCAGAAGGCAGCCCATGATTCTCTATCAGTGATGTTTCTATCTCTCCCTCTCTCTTACTCTCTGAAATCAATAAAAATATATTTTAAAAAATTGTTCTACATTCTAAGCAGTGCCATTTATTTATTTATCCATCCATCCTCACCTAAGGATATTTTTTTCATTGATTTTTAGAGAGTAGAAGGGAGAGAGACAGAGCGAAGCACCATGTGAGAGAGAAACATCGACTGGTTGCCTCCTGCATGCCCCTGACCAGGGCTCAGAACCTGCAACTAAGGTACTTGCCCTTGACCAGAATCGAACCCAGGACCCTTTGGACCTTAAGCCAACACTCTATCCACTGAGCCAAATCGGCTGGGGCCTAAGCAGTTCCATTTTAAACAGAGATGACCAAACTTTACTTAAAAATTAATAAGTAAAAATAATATATATATATTTGGGACACACCCCCCCCCCCCCCCCGCATACACGCAAAGGAAGCGACATAATGGACACACTGAAACACTCACTTCTTGCGCCGGCGCCCATACAGCTCCCGCCGCAGCTCTCTGGAAATGGGCTTCAGATGCATGAAGTTGCAGAAGCCGCCTCGTGTACACTCTCTGGAGGGGAGAACCAGATGAACATGACACCACATAACCACGCCCTTACTCTACCTCCCTAGCGGGCAGGCTGTCCATACCTACCCCATTTCATATTGGCGGCAACAGGCTTCCCGGAAGTCGGTCACGGGGGAAAGCTCAGCGTGGATGGGCTGCCCATTGAACCAGCGGTTGTTCAAATCAATCACAGCTTTCTCCGCATCTTCTTCACGGCGAAACTGAAAAGACAACAAAAATGCTTGCCGCCACTTTAATAACACATTTTCAATCATTGATCCAAATACATGCCATGTGCTTAGGCAGATAAAGTAATCAAGGTGGAATAATGTAGTGCAATTAAAATCAGACAACCCTCAATTTACAATTAGACTATTTAACCTTGCGATGGTCCAAAATCATGCCAAATACGTTATCTTGATTTTCCAATTCAATTGGTTAAAAGAGCAAATGTAATGATTTGTGTAGGCAATAAACATCATTAAAAAAAAAAAAAAAAAAAAAAAAGAGGCCTGGCCTGTGTGGCTCAGTGGTTGAGCATTGACCCATGAACCAAGAGGTCACCAGTTCTGTTCGATTCCCAGTCAGGACACATGCCCAGGTTTCGGGCTCAATCCCTAGTGGGGAGCGTGGTGTGCAGGGGGGCAGCCAATTGATGTTTCTCTCTGTCCCTCTCTAAAGTCAATAATAAAAAAAAAGAAACTATATAAACCGACTTCTCCCCAGTTCAAACAGCCTCTAACCAACAGGTATGAAGGTGCCCGACCTGAAAGGATGATGCAGGACCCTGGCAGTCTGCCCTCCTCCCTACACCCACACGCCGGCTCCAGCACGTGCACAAGTTCAAGAGCAAGGAGCATTTGGGCAAGGTTAAAAGCTAAAACAATAAGGTGAGCATGCCTTATCCTTCCCCCAAACTCCCACCTGTCACCTTCCACGTACCTTCACATACACGTTTCCAACGAGGTGATCTCCAAGGTTATCACAGACATTCATCTCCTCCACCTCGCCGTACTTCTCCTCCATTTCTGTGAAAACCTCCTGGAAGAGAAACGGTGGTTTAGGAGCATGATCGCGTTAAAGATAAAAGACTAATTGAACACAATGAATCTTTTAGTATTTTTATTAATAGAGACAGATTTTAATTCCCCCCAAACAGATAAAGGTGAATAGGTCTATCAGTCTCCAATAGTCAATCTCACCTCAAAAAACTCATCATAGTGTTCCTGCATCTCGACATCGCTCACAGCACCTGCAAACAACAGAAATCTTGCCGGTTAGCGCAGGGGCTGTGACCAATTAAAACTTGTGCTTAATCAACCTGCTACAGTGACACACATTAGATTATCTAAAGAGAGAACCCGACAGAAGTGCGTTCTACTGGAGCACTGACGAGACTGCATCACAAGGTCAAGTGTTAAAATCTTAAAGTGTGGGGAGACTTTTAAATGCCCTATGACAGTCTCCATTCTGGCTATTAAAACCATACAAGTTTTAATCAGCATCAAAGGATCACATTTTTCAGAAAGTATCTTAAGGAAAAAGTTGCTCAAAAAAATTTTTAATGAAAAAATTTTAAAATTTAAAAATGAGGCCAATTAATGCTCTGCCCCCCAACCCCCAATTAGGTTACAATGAAAGCTGAATCAGGGTGAGTGATTAAAAGCTTACGCTCCTGACTCGTTTCTTTCAGTGGTTATCAGCCACACAGATGCTATAAAATTATTTCTGATGCGATTAAAACCCAAATGACCATAAATACTCAGTAGGACAGTTACCAAGTTCCATTACAGTATTTTGAATGCCCCTTGAGTAAATGGAAAATTACAATACTTTGTTGAAGAAAGCATTCTTATTTTCTATTTTCCTCATTTACTTTTTCATAACCTACATGCACTAAATGAAATCATGCACATTCTGTGGGTGGATTTTACACATTTCCATTCTATCTCCATTATCACCTCTTTTATCAGATTTTAAAGTTCTCCTAACCTAAATCTGAGAAGTCACCAAGCTGGTGTGTCAATAAACTGATATTCCAAACAGTTGGCCCAGGGAGCCCAGGAGGCCGAGAGGCTGTTAGGCTGGGCCGGGGTCCCGGACAGTGGCCTCCCCTGGGAAACCCACTGAGGGACCTGAGCTGTGGCTCAGGGCTCTCTACCCAGACTGCTGTCTTTTAGCCGTTTCCTACAGGACTTGAAAACCTTTTTATCTTTGATGGTAAGAACTTAAATCTTTCGGTTCTGGAAGTGACTTAAGTTTACTTGCTAACACTTAGCCTCCCTGCATTTTGGCTGTTTTGAGTTTATGGACTCCAGCTCAGTTTAGAACCCACTTACTGAGCACAGGCAACCACTACTCTTGATGGCCCATCCCAGTGGGAGGCAAACAGAGACAAGTTCCGAACGGAGGAGCCATTCCAAAGGGCAGGCAGTGCTTAAGCTCACTCCTTCCCCACATCAAGAAACGCAAGAACAGAGGGAAAGCCTCTACACCCTCGGCTTGGGGAGCACTGACAATCCAGCCGGGTGACGGCTCTAGTACCAGCTGATCATGACTGTCCTATTCTGTTCTTTATAACACGGAGTATTATATTTCCATAACTTCTAGAAAACTATTTAAAAATGCTTGAATGTGGGCATATTTTATCTTTTATAAATTTTTGAGTCAATCAAAATGACTTGAAAGGCAGAGATGAGTGATTAAAAACTAATAAACTAAAACATAATTTACATGACTCAATCTATTTTAAGTAATACAACCTGAAAAATACCGAATTTTTGTACAGAAACATTCTTAAACTGGGATTATTAAGTGTAACCAAAGCACAGAAAACTTATCTTTCTACAGATGAATGGATATGGTCAAAAGAACCATTAGTATTAGGAAAACTGATGAACCCAGCTGACTGAAATTTACTGAAAGGGTCTGATGCCAAATATTTCAGGCTTATCAACTTAAACTGATTTTTTTTTTAAAACTGCAGAATCAGAATCTCATTTAATTTATACAATCTAGAACTGGAATATTTGATATAGCTAAACTTTTATTTTGTAGCGTATACAGAACAAGAGCCCTGTGAATCACAGATAAAGACACCAAGAAAACTAACACAACATTCTTTTGCCAATAAAGAACCCGCAGTCCCCAAGTAAACAAGTAGGGCAAAGAACTGTGAATTGTTGTTACTCCGTTATCTACTTGTCACTCATTTAATTTTAAGTTAAGTCGATATATAAACATTTCTCTCCATCTAATTGATCTTACTTCTTAAGAAAGAGAACCAAACAAAAACCAGGTATTTTAAACCATTGGCTATTAATCAGTCCTGCCACCCTCAGATATGGGAAAAGACTTCTCTACTGTCAGGTCAGTATTAGCAACTCAAAACATTTAGTGTCTGGGAAGAAAAACTTGACAAGACAGCCCCACCCCGCAGACATGGGAACTCCCGTGTGTGCAGGTATATAACTGGGAGACCTCCAGCGTGGGTGGTGGCTGCTGGGACCATCCCACCCAGTGCAGGCCACCCATAAGCTGACGGCTCTGGGCCAAGGCTGCACTGGAGTTAGGTCTGTGCTACCAGGTTACCTTTGCTAGCGTCTTCTATTCATGTTCACAGCTTTCAAACAAACTGAGGTTTGGACCCCTTGATTTTAATAGGAGGCCAGGGTGTTCATTTCAATTTATCCCCAGGTGACTACACTGATCTGCAGCTCAACAATTCTAAAAATGTTTTAGTTTTTTGAATTTTCCAATGATTCTAATATATATCCTGTTCTTGACAACGTTCAAAACTTAAACCAATGTCTACTGAGTGCCCCGTTTAGATCCATTTCCCCACCAAGTACCCCAAGTTTTCCAAATGCAGTGAACATAAAGTATTCCGGTTAAAGACCGAGTGAGCACAGGGCTGATGCTGAGGAAACTGAGGGGTCACTGCAACTTGGGACCCTTGCTTGGGAAACAATCCCAGAACAATGCTCTCAGTTAGAGCATGCGCTCCAAAATAGAGTTTAAGGGGGAAAAGTCAAATAAGAAATAAAAATCTGAAAAGTAATTTCAGAACAATTTTTTTAGGTGAGAGAAACTTTCAAATACTGTTGCTCTCAGAGGGATGAACACAACTCCACACTTAACTCCACGGAAATTCTCCCCTGGGATGAGAGCCAAGGTAAAGGAGAGAGCGGCAGCTCCAAGCTATCGTAAAGGGTGCCCTTCACAGTCATCTTTTTGCTCCTTAAGTAAGTGGGCAGCAGTTCAAATCTCTGACAGAGTTTCCATGGGTCAGGGTCAGTGGGACAAAAGCTCTTGACTCTTCTAGTGGAAGCGGCAGACCAGGTGGAGTGGACGCTGAGCTCTGACACGTAAGCCCAGGGAACCAGGGAAGGAACTTGTATGAACTTACAGCGCAAACCGTCAGCAGACTGGGAAGAGTTTTGAGGGTTACGGTAAATGTTCAAGAGGGCAATGGTCTGAAATACAAAACGCAACAACTTTATATTATGGAAAATTAAATGTAAACACTTAACCGGCTTCCTGTGGCGATCGCTTCAGTCAAGACTCAGTGCTGAAAAAAAGCAAGTTATTTCTTTCGATGGAGAGATGTTTTCGTAGCTGATGGCGGTCTCGGAGCACCCTAGCACTGCAATGCAGAGATCTCATGATATGCCAGTATTGTATTTCTGTTCACAGAGCGTAAACATTCTCCATTTCAAAGTTCCAAGCCAGGTAAGAGTGCAAATAACTCGGCAGGCTACTACCAACACATTCTTAGAAAAACTTTTAATGGACAACTGGGAAAGAAAAAGTGCCCATATGAACCAATGACACAATTACTATATTAGAGAAATACAATAATTACATATCATGAAATCTCCATTTCCTAGAAGAAAAATCATAGTTGAAATAAACCCACACTTATTGGGCAACTTACCTTATTGATTCCTAAATATTCCTAAAATTAGTTTTACAGAAAGAACTTAATAAATACCCGGGTTCAGTCATTGTAAAGACCAATGATGGCTGATAAATGTTAAAATGTCACATGGACAGATCCCTTCTTGTTAACAAATGTCAATCAAGGGAAGAGACCTGGTCAGCGACCTCCCCTAGGACAGCCTCCTGAACGCAGCCAAGTATCAAGTTCTTGCTGTATACGCCAAGGACTTCCACCACCTTGTCCTGTTTGCAACAGCTCTATGTCAGCAGCTCAGAAGCCAACATTATGTGTCTCAATTAAGAGTGGGCTCTTTAACACCATTGTTTTAAAAAAATTTCTCCAACTGTGGGACTTACAGTGTGAGCCGTCAGCCGTCTGTGCACTGTTTTGGGGATTACGATAGATGTTTTGAATCAAGATGGTCTGCGGGGAAAAAAAAATAAAAAGGGGAATTCTACTGGCTGCTGTGCATATATTAGACAATTGCAAAGAGACAACTTGTTTGCAAATGGCTCAACGCTTGTATGTTTGTTTCCCGCAAGTCACACAATTGTCTTCTGAAAAGGACACCCAAACCATCATATTATGAAAACAGAGTTTGAGCAGTGACTTAGGTCAAGTCAGCCAGCAACCAAGAAAAAATAATTGTTACTTTGAGTAGTCCCACATTTTAAAAATATTTTAATGCAAGATAAATAACAGGACATTAGCATTTTCCTACACTTCAAGTTAGCAGACAAGATGTTGAAAAATTTACATTATAATCATATTCCCCATACAAAATCCTTTTAAAAAAACAAATGCATAACCCAACTGTATGCAGTCCATCCAGCTCTCTGGTCTCGTAGGAAACAGGCACACCAAATGGTTTCCTAACTGTCCCGGACACCTATCAGATTTACATTTTCTTGGTGGGATCTCTGTTTACATAATACAATAGCTTAAAACATTTGCTCTTTTCCGATCCTTCTTAAGGGAATAAAATCCTTTTTAGCCCTTCTGCTTTAAACTGGATCAGGCAGACTTGAAACCTTACATTGTACCGTTCTTCTTAAAATCAAGTTGTCTGAAAAAACAAACCATGTTTAAGTTAGTAGACTAATATATTACATGAATCTTAATGTCCACATCACTGTAAGAAGCGTAAAAAGAAACCCACATTGAATTATGCTAGATATTTACAAGCTGAACCAATAAAACACGATTTAGAAAAATAAATGCTCACTTTCAACATATGTCCAAAGCAGTTTTGTAAGTGGTTTTACAGAATGAGCCAGTTCCATTTCCAGCTATGTTTAAAGGGGAGGGATTGTGTAAACACTCCCAGTCAAAGGCCTGTTGCTGGGAAACCCACTTGCAAGAACTGCCAGCAGCAGGCAGCCCACCTGTGACATGCAGACCCTCCACTCAGGGCCTGGCGCCTTCCCCAAGCATGGAGCACTGCCCAAGACAACCTATCTCGGGCCTCGGATGTTTCCCAAAGCCAACTTCATATTTTCAACTGGAATTACCAGGGCATGACAATAATGGAAAGCTATACTGAGCCCAATTATTCAACAGGAAAATTAACGTTGTTTCACTGAGGTAACCTGGCAGTGGCTATTTAGGAAGAACTGTCATTTAAAAGGGGCAATGCAGTTCCACTAAGATTAGGGGTGGTTAAGATTACCTAAAATCAACCAACCAAATCAAAATACGACACTCAAGTTAACAAATACAGCTGACCCCATCAAACTTTAATGGAACCATTGCCTTGTTTTGATCCAAAGTGCTCAAATTAACTTGACATTAACATACTGAGGTAATCAACTGTGGGGAAGCACTGGACTTGGTTGGAAAGTTTATAAGGAAAAATCCCCAAAAGGTCGGGGGCCTCCAGGGAGAGATGGCCAACAAGTCCTACGCTTCCCCACAATCAATGATTCAGAAAGAAAAGAAGCCAGGTGTCTCTCGGTAGCTTAAAGAAAACTGTAACAGGGGACAATTTCTTTCTCAACCCAACACTTGGTACATCTGTAAGTAGCCCTCCAAAATAAAATACTCAGGGGATACTTAAAGTGCTTGGTTATTGCCCAATCTATGGCCACTGGCTTAGTGGCAAAATTCAATTATAAATTAAAGCACTTAAAAAAATTAGAACAGAAAATTTAAAGCAAATTCTCCAATATTCTGAAACTTGACATGTTCAAAGCTATTAAGATAGATTTTTATTATACTAACCACTTGGTAATCAGGAATGACGGGGGGAGAGAAGCCATCACACCCCTCTTCTAAAAGGAAGTTAAAGTGTGGGGTGTTCTATGGGCTTAAATTAGAAAATACTAATGTCTCTTTCTTATGCCAATTGAACAGAAAGATGTGAGCTCAAAGTAGAGTCTAGCAGTTTCCAGAGGTAGATACAATAGTTACCCACTAGTAATAAAATCAAAAAATAGAAGTTGCATGTTCAGACTTCATGGGCAGTCAGAAGGAGATCAACAAATTTTTCAAATTCCAAACACTCTGGTAAACACGGGCATAAGTTTCTGTTAGTATTAGAGGTGCATTCATTCTCCCTTTAATACATCAGTGATCACTTACAGGGTACATAGTCTTGCCTTTTCTTCAGTTAACCAAAAATACCAAAAATCTAAATTTTTAAAATTAAACCAAATCATAGCCAACCTAAACCCAAGATAACAGGCATCTCTCAATTAACTGAATAAAACTGGCCACAAAACACTGAACTGAATGCCCATCTTCTAGTGTTAAATTTCATTTTTAATGTTTCTATGTCATGATGCAACTTGCTATTGCCTTGACTAAGGGTCTAAGGAAGGGAACACACCAGGCCTGGAGAACCGAGGGCATGGCAGTCACCCCAGCCTCTCCTGTAAGGTGGCTGCCTAGGGAGAGCAAAGAACAGAAAGCCCGCTTTGCATCTCCCGTGCCTGGAAGAGGCTCAGTCAATGTTGTTGACTGCAGGGAGGGTGGTAGGGCAAGGGCCTGTCCTAGCCAACATGCACATACTAAAACCTTCTTTTAAACAGGTTTCTCGAGTGATAAAAACAGGGGATGATGCTCTCAGACCTTCCACTGGGGTGTCTCACCTGCCTCATCCATTGAAACAAACGAACGTGCTCACTTATGAACATAAATAGAAAATAAAACAACTAGAGAAATAAAGGTCCCCTTTATACATGGAAATTATTAACTGGCTTTGTAAAGTACAAGTTTTGATAATTTACGTGAAAACAGAAAAAAAAAGAAAAAATAAACAAACCTGGCTAAAGGTTGGTTTATTGTGCAACCGAGAGCATCTGTCTCCATGACGACATGCTCCAATTTTGAAATAAAATGAACAGTTGACTCTGTAATGAAAAATAAGAGCAGATTATTTTGCTGGGAAGACATCAAACAGATGGAACTACGTCATCAACATGAGACATGCTATCAAATGACTTCCCCAAAATACAGGCACATTATTTTTGATTGGTAGCAGGTACCCCTCCCCCTTCCTGGCAATATTTTAGGACTAGTTTCAATCTGCTCCTCTGTAAACTCCTTCAATGAAGAACACTCAGACCCAATTCCTCCTTATTCAAATCCCCTCCCCTTTCAACCTGTTTTCATGTAAATGAAATATTAGTCTAAAACTAAATTTAACTTAAAATGTATCTGGTTCTTTAGTTTTCCACAATGAAATGACTTCGCTTGAGGACACCAACACAGTGTAATGAGGTGAAGGTCCAGATCTGCTCCTAGCTGCCTGGCTTGGGCAAATCACCCCACCTTTCAGGGTTTCATTTGAAAAAATGAGGAAAATGCCAGCCTGGCACTGTTCCAAGCATCAGCTGTAAAGTAGGTGTGCGCCATACACAACGCTCATTTAAATGCAATCATTATTTAAATAAACCAACCAAGCCGGCTGGTGTGGCTCAGTGGTTGAGCACTGACCTATGAACCAGAAGGTCATGGTTCGATTCCCAGTCAAGGTACATACCGGGTTTAAGGCTCCATTCCTAGTAGGGGGAATGCAGGAGGCAGCTGACCAATGATGTTTCTAACTCTCTCTCCCTTTCTGAAATCAATAAAAATATATTAAAAAAACAACAACAACAAAAAAACAAAGTCCAGGGTCTCTCACCCATGATACCAGACCAACAGGAAATTTCCAAAAACAGGTCTGAAGTAAATAATTCTTCTGGTTTCCATATACTGAAAACAAGCTATTGGGGAACTCAACCTGTACTTCTGTCCCTATGGCAAAGTTTCCCTTAATATTAATCAAATACTGGATGACCCAGATCAAATTAAAACTAGCAATCCAGCCAGCATGATAGCAATGCCAGGTGGCTTAGCAGATCTGTGATGAACTATGAAATCTGAGTAGACGAGTCCCATTCAAATTCTCACTTGCTCGGCTGGTGAGGTTCAGTGGTGGAGCACCCACCCGTGAACCCAGAGGTCTCTGGTTCCAGTGACAGTCAGGGCACATGACTGGGTTTCGGGCTCTATCCCCAGTAGAGGCTGTGCAGGAGGCAGCCAATCAATGATTCTCTCTCATCGATGTTTCTATCTCTCCATCCCTTCCTCTCTCTAAAATCAATAAAAGCATTTTTTTTTAAAAAGTGCCATATATTTAGACAGCCAATCAAGAGTTAAGATAAAAGGACCTCAATGAAATCTGATAGACTATGCAACTGATTAGCCAGGGATTTACTATTAGGTAGCAATCAACTTGGAAAAGTGTGAACTTACCAGGGGAGGAAAATGATTACATTACTATACATATTTGCAAACTTAAGTCTTACTTTAGATTTTCTAACTTGAATATATAACATTTTATCTTCAGAAAGTCACCTGAAAATTAAGAGCTTATTTTTAAGTAAATCTCAGAATGGGCAAAACCCCTGCCTGAACAATTACTACCCAACCATTCCACAATTAATCCTTGTCCCTTAACTTCCAGAGATGGCTTTCATTTGATGATACCCAGTTAAAACAAAACCTCCCAAGTCTCTCTGAAATGAGAATATGACTAATCTAAATAATTAAATTTCTTGAATTAAAGCCATGACTTTTACAAAACAGCTTGGATAGGTGGTTATTGGAATAAACCCCTAAAGTAAGTTTTGAAGAGTGACAGTGAAAGACACCAAATGATAGAAAAAAAAATTGCCTGACCCAGAAGTCATGGGCCACACTGACAGAAGCTAAAGAATGAAATTAATGATGCACGTTCTTAGCATGCACTCAGAGAAGCCTCTTTTTCCAGCAGAACTGGCCTATTCAATCAAGATCCTATTTAAAGGCAAGTCCCCCACGATGCTCTTCCTTGAGCTCAAAGCATTCAGGGTGCACCCCTCTCCCAATGCATTTAAGACATTTTGATGCATTTTACTTTAATGATCCTTTATATGCACGCACCCCTCCCTCCTTGATAACAAGATCTAAATTTTATCCATCTTTGAGTCTCCGGAGATTGCCTTTGGGTTGACACCCAAGTGACTATGACTGTCATTTTGTCTCGCAAATTTTGGTAGGAAAAAATATAACTAATCCCACAGAAATTCTATCATGTGTAAAAAGACATTTTACAAGATGTATCCTGGAAAACAGAAACAATTCAAATAGTGTTTGGAAAAGTGGCATTAAAATATGTACGACAAACTTAGGGGTTGACCCTAAAAACATACATTCACAGAAGCCTATTTAACCCTGAAAAATCCCAAATAATAACTACTTATTCGAAGGGTACATTAATCCAGACAGTCTTTAGTTTTCAAAGAATTATCCCCTAAATGTCTGAAGACATTTACGTTAGTCTAAATTTCAATACGTGCAAACGTGGCAAAGTCAGAATTAAATTTTCACTTTTAACCTAACAATTGGTTAGGGAAGCATGCAACCTTAAAAACGAGGAAAAGGACCCACCTTTTCCCTTATAATATTGGTATTCAGTCTTCAAGTATTTAAAGACCTCAACAATTACCTTACGTTATCTGAGGATAAATAAACACGGGCGAGATGTGCACCACAGCTTGCCCAACACCCTAGAGACTAAAGTTGGGGGGATTGTCTAACGTCGGCTTCAGCACAACTCGAGGCGGCTGCCGAAGGCCACGGGGATCCGGGTGCCCCACGGACCGGAACACCGCGGGCCGCGGATGAGAGCCGCGCGGGAAAGGTCGCGCCGCCCGGGCGGAAGCCCGCTGCCCGGCCGGGGGCCCATCGCCGGCCTGCCCGCCCGCCCGCCCGCCCGCCCGCGCGCCCACGAGGCGGCGGCAGCGCGCGGCTCCCGAGGCCGGAAAGACCGACGCGCCCCTCCCCCCCGCCCGGGCCTTCCGCCGCCGTCCGCAGCCCGCCGCCGTGCCCGCCCGCCTACCCGGCCCGGAGCCCCGAAAGGCGGCTCTCACTCACTTGTCCTTCTCGGTGCCGAAGATGGAGGCCAAATACTCCGCCATTTCCCACCGGCAGCCGCCGAAAGCGCTGCCGACGCCTCCGACACTGCCCGACGCCTGCGGGAAACGTCACCCTGACGCGACGACGCTAGCCCCGCCCCGCCCCGCCCGTATGTCGGCGCTGCCCAATCGGGCGAAACGCTGCCTGCGTGTGGGCGGGGCTTGGAGCTCGCGAGAGGGACTGTCTTCCCGGCCCCGGCATGCCCAGCGCCTGCGGCGCCCCCAGTCAGCGGGTTGCGGTCCAGCGCCCACCCCGACCCCGACCCCGGCCCCGGCCCCGGCCCCGGCATGCCCAGCGCGCAAACCGCGGCCTGGAGGGGAAGGCGATGGGCGAGGCTTCTCCACGCAGTCGCGCGGGGCTGGATCCGCGGAGCTCGGAGAGGTGCAGGCGCGCCTCCTTCCCCGCACCTCCCTCCCCACACCTCCCCGGGGAACTCGCGCTGCCTTTGGAACCTTTCCTCGGTGAAGACCCCTCCTCCAGTGCCCTCGGAAGCGGGGAATGGAGTAGAGGCGCCCCCGGCCGTCCCCCGGTCTCGGGAGGAGCGCCGCGTGGGGCCTCGGCCTTGTCAGGGCTCCGGTTCCTAAGCGGGGCCCACCCGGATGACCGGGATCATCCGGTTTTAAGGTGGTCTGAACGGTCTCTTCCTGGCAGTGCTAAGCTTAGTGTCTGATTGAACACGGGGAGGGAGGAGAATCCTGGGGGACGTCCTTAGAGTCCTGCTTGGGTTTGAGAGGAGCCAGACCAGAGGCGAGATGGCGGTGAGAGGGGGAGCGGTGGTGGTGAGACACGAGGGGCCGGATTTGGGGCCGGATGGCAGGCGTAGTGCTCAGGGTCCTGGGGGCCAGGCTACAGAGAGCATCACCCCTACTGATTGCAGGCCGGTGTCCCCCGAATTCATGTGGGAGCCCTGACGCCCAGCACCTCCGCCGGTGACTAGTTGGAGGTGATTGGTTGGAATGAGGCTGATAGAGCGGCCCTGTCCGATCGGCCGTGTCCTTTTGGGAAGAGGAGGGTAGGGCTGTGTGACACAGGGTCCTAACCTACGGAGACCTCCGCAGACCCACCCTGCAGACACCCTGACCGCGCACTCCCGGGCTCCAGCGCTGCGAGGGAATGCATTTCTGTTTAAAAGGGGTTTTAAAATCGTGGGGGCTAAAAACAAATATTAATACTTTCCCTCCCACCGTTTAACTTCTAGACTGGGCTAATTAATCAGATGGACAGAGAGACAGATTAGCAGGAGAAAGTCAAAGTTTAATGTACATTCCCACGGGGAATTCACCTAGGCATGATAATTCCATGAAAATTCCAAAGACAGGGAGGCGACATTGGGTATATAAGACACTATTTGGACAAAGGAGGGAGGAGGAGTGGGTGGGAACGGGGATTAGATTTCAGAAATGAGAGTGGCCGGTTTATAGGGAGTTGAGCAGAACACACATGGCAGGCAAATCCTTGCTAGGCAACTCAGAAACAATGAGACACAGGATCTCCAGTTAACAGGCACCTGCCTGCCGCCCTCTTATTTACCATATTTAATTTAAATTAGGCTAAGCAGCAGCCCAACAACTCCTTCCTGAAGCAGGTTTCTCTGAATTTCTTGGGCAGGGAAGGGGGGAGAGTGAAAGGCTTGTTTCTATAAATCACTTACTGGAGAGTATTATGCTGAGCGAAATAAGCCAGTCAGAGAAAGACAAGTATCACATGATCTCACCCATTTGTAGAATCTAATGAACCCAATAAACTGATGACCAAAAATAGACCCAGACACATAGCAGCATGAGCAGGCTGTTGAATCTCAGAGGGAAGGCAGGGGAGGGTGCGTGGGAAGAGATCAACCAATGAACTTGTATGCATAACCCAGGACACAGGCAATGGGGTGGTGAGGGCCTGGTGGGGGGTGTGTGGGGGACGCGGGGGGAGGGGGGAGGATAGGAGTGGGCTGGAAGAGTTAATGGGGGAAAATGGAGGACCTATGTAATACTTCCAACAATAAACAGTATCCCCAAAAGGCAGCTTCAGGTGGCAAAACTTTGGTCCCTTCACAAAGAAATTGCTGAGATGGCTGCTGCACTGGGCTGGGGAGCAGCCTGCTGGTCCTGCTGCTGCACCCTGACCCCCTGCGCCCCAGGGACACTAGGAACTCCGGGTGGCTGCCCACCTCTGCTGTCAGTGGAATCTTGCCGTCGCTGCCTCTGTGCGTTGCTGGCAAGGCGGTGAGTGCATTGGCGAGGTCCTGGCCTGTGCTTCTAGGCTGCTCCTCCAGTGGCCAAGGGAGAGTCAGCACCTACCGAGGCAGGGAATGGCTGAGGAGCAACTGATCTGGGTAGTCTGGCCTCTGCATGGACCGTGTTATTTTTTCACAGCCTTTCCTTTCTGTCCTGCCTGCCCCTGGGCCACCACATGCAGAGGCCATGTGATGACCCACCTACTGCTTGGGACTTGGCCCTGTACCTTGCTTTGACTCGTGGAATATGAGGTGATGTTATGTAAGCAACTTCTGAAAGAGCAGGTTCCGAGTGTCTGCTCCCTGAACTGCCCTGCAGGCAAGGGGCCTGGGAAGATGCCGGAGCTGGCCAGCAGACCCTGAGCAACGGATGACTGGGTTACTCCAACACAACGTTTGCTGTGAAAGAGAGGCTAAGGGACGGCCTGGCTATAGCAACCAGGCAGCCTCGATTGCCTGTCTCGTTAGCCTTTTATTGTAACTGCAGTTTGAGATAAAGTTTATCTTTAGATACAATCAATAGGGTGAGTAATCTTAGAGGACACATATGTTTACATTGTCCTCTAGGCAAGGGCATCCAAGGATTAAGCGTAAGCATTTTAGTAAACACCAGGGTCTGCATGTGCACAGACTTGTTTGGAAAGGTCAACTAACTAGGGGCACCGCCTTTGGCATGCCCCTGAGTCGGAATTCCGATAAACAGGGCAGGCAGCCTGCCTCACACTTCCCTTTTCTCAGAATGTCCTTCTTACAAACTTTCCAACCAAGTCTCATTTGCACCCTAACAGGAAGATATTTAGGGTCCTCACTGTAGCTCTTCTGACTAATCCAGCATGGGTATGAATACAGCATGGGTAGACGTGACCAGCCACCATTCGTATATGAGAGTGTCCACTACAATGTTCTGTGATGACAGATATGCTCTATATCTGTGCTGTCCAGTGATATGATGGCCACTGACCACATATGGCTCTTGAGCCCTTGAAATGTGGCTAGTATGATAAAGGCCCTGAATTTTAAATGTTATTTACTTTTAATTAATTTAGATTTAAATCTAAATAGCCACATATGGCTACCAGATTGGGGCATCTGAAGTTCAGGGGAAAGGCCCAGTGGAGTGGCATATTTGGGATTCATAAGTGTAGAGTTAACATATGTAAGTATGTATGGAACCCTGGCACGTGTATACAAGATTTCAGTGTATGCCTGTTTTTCTGTGGGCAAATATAGTCCATAATTTTGTCAGATCCCAAAGGGATCTTAGCCCCCAAAGTTGAAAGGATTCCAGGGTCCTGGATGTAGCCTGTTTTGTTTCGTTTTTGTTTCGGGAGGCAGGCAGTGTTATGCTCAGAAACCGAATCTGTCTTTGCCAGCAATTTAGCGCAGGTTCACTGTGGGGATTTCACAAGCCAATAGCATGCAGGATGTCTCTTAATTAGCAAGACATACTCCAAATGACTGACAGATTAATGGCACCATTGTTCCAGGTGAGGGGAGATGGAGGAATAAAGTCCAAATTTAATACGAAACGTGCCTTTTTATACCAGGAGGTGACCAACCAAAGAGGAGGAATGCCTCCCCAGGACAGGAATGAGTGCCCCAGCGGTCTTAGGAGAGATTTTAGTTAGCAAAGAGTCCTCACCCAAACCGAACCTCTCCAGTGGTCTGCACACACTCTCAGTATTTGGGGTCTCAGTGTCCCCTCGCCGCAGTTGCTTCTCCACTTGTTCATCCGAGAGCCCCAGTGGGGGCTCTCAGCAGCTGGGATGCCGACTGCTTATCAACTGACAACAGATGGAGTGAATGTCAGTCACCCACCTCACAAGCGTCCTGAAGAGGAGATTAGGGCTGTGTTGACCTGACAAGGTCCTCAACCATGTGAGTTGTCTTTGGGTTTCTGACTCCCTTACACCCTCACGCATTCTAATTCCTTGGCTGCTTCAACCATCTCTGCTCTTCCTCCTCTTGGCCATGCTGGGTGTCCTGCATGACCACAGCAGCACCTATGCCGGTTTGATTCCTGGTCAGGGCACAGGCCCAGGTTGTGGGCCTGATCCCCAGAAGGGGATGTGCAAGAGGCAGCCAATTGATGTTTTTGTTTGTCCTCGCTCTCTTTCCCTCCCTCCCTCTCTACTGTTGTCTTAGCTCAGGCTGAGGGCTTAGACAACAGACATGGGTTTCTCCCAGTCCTGGAGAAAGTCTCAGATCAAGGCACCGGCAGATTCCTCCCTCTTCTTCTCACTGTGACCTCACGTGGGAGAAGGGGCAAAGGAACACTCTGGGAATCTTTTACAAGAGCAGTAACCCCATTCATGAGGCCCTACACATTGGGGGTTAGAATTTAACAAATAAATTTTTGGGGCTATAAACAGTCAGTCTATAGCACATGGTTATGCACTTCTCTGGACTTAGTTTCCATCCTAATAAAAGAGTAATATGCAAATTGACCATCACTCCAACACAAAGATGGCCGCCCCCATGTGGACACAAGATGGCCAGCAGGAGGAGGGAAGTTGGGTGGGACCAGGCCAGAAGGGGGAGGGCAGTTTGGGGGGGACCAGGCCTGCATGGGAGGGCAGCAAGAGAGGACCAGGCCAGCAGGGGAGGGCATTTGGGGGCAATTGGGCCGGGAGGGGAGCAGTTAGGTATCGATCAGGCAGGCAGGCAGGCAAATGGTTGGGAGCCAGCAGTCCTAAATTGTGAGAGGGATGTCTAACTGCCCATTTAGGCCCGATTCCACACCAGCCAGTCGGACATCTCTAAACGGGCAGTCGGACATCCCTTGAGGGGTCCCAGATTGGAGAGGGTGCAGGCTGGGCAGAGGGACATACCCTCCAAATTTTGTGCACCAGGCCTCTAGTCCTATATAATAAAAGGGTAATATGC